TGTTTAGTAACATGCCAACAGAGCAGCTTCGAGGATCCGGTCGCCCAAGCGGCCAGTGGCGAAGATCCCAAGGTCCCAAGCAGGATGCCGCAACCAGGTGTATGGCCATGCTCAGGCTACTGACCCTACAGCAGCCTCAGAAGAGGCCGCGGCCGACACTGAGCCAACCTAGCCTGGCTCTCCGCGAATCTATCGAAGTCTGAGGGTAGGTATGGCTTGCCGCGATCATGCCAAGGTGCCAGCTACCCCGAGCCCGTAGTCGTTGACAGGCATCATGAATTCTTTGCAGCAACGCCTGGTAATAAAGACGTGGTCGAGTTGAAGATCGTCCTGTCCTTGCTCGTACGGGGGAATGCCATGTGATTACCGCCCTGTCCTGGTCGGTTTAGCATCTTCTTTAGCTATACCACGCGAGTAATGGCCGTCATTGCGCTTGATGCCTGCCAGTCGCGACAAGGGTAGGTAAGGTAGTTGTTCAACGGCTCGCAGGGCGCTGCTGTTGATGATGGATGGCGTTGGCCCGAGCCGTGGTCGAGGTTGATGCAGGATGCAGGTGCTAGCTTGACCTGGCAGCTGCTTGAGGCGAGACTCAGGTGATGATAACGGAGAGCCAGGGGCCTTCGGTCATGTGCGATAAGGGCAACCTGCCTCAGGTCGGTGAGGTCAGATGGGCATTGGGAAGTTACGGCCAAGGTAGGTACTGCCTTGATGGTACACCCATGATTGAGTACTAAGGTATGGCCACTATGCACTGGCCGTTCTCTTCTCGCGCGTGGAGAATAGGTTCCAACAACTCCGAGGCGTCAGGTTGGGTGTTATGACTACCTACCTCTCCGAAGACTCTTCACAATGATGCTCAATTCGGTGACTCAATCCGTGGCAGATAAGCCATTGCTCCCGCCTGCAGCCAATCTCGGATGCTTTGTCGCCCATCTTGAACGTGTTATAGCGCATCCCCATGGAAAGAAGATGGTGTGCCGCATTTGTATGATGGCTCAAGGTGGCACTCGCCAAGAGTGCAACCCAGCCTCGCTCACGCCATATCGTGTACCATCGACTCTTTCCCCGGTCCTTGTCCTGGACCATGGACTCGAAGATGGCTGCCCTGTATAGCCTAACACCATGGCCAAGGCACACTAATTCCAAGACTGCGTTGGCTGGGCAGCAGAATCATGACAGGGATCTCCATGGCTTCTAGAGGGTGCAGTGCCACCGGACTAGTATGCTGGCTGGCGATCCCCCATTGTGCACGACAGCCCCGGTGGAGCAGCATCTTGGCCATTTCTGCTTCCCGGGTAACTTTGGATACAACTATAACAACGGTTCCCACGTGTACCTACATGAGGTTGTAGTACGAATGGGGCAATGGGGAGTATCGACGCGGCGTATCCGGAGTCGCAGGCCTTCCTGAGCTCTGTGTTTCATCCGCGGCATCGAATCTCTGGCGGGAAATGCCAGGATGTCAGTGTGAAGCAGTAGGATTTATGATGGAAGGGCGGAACGGAAGAGGCGCAACCTGAAGACAGGATGGGATTCATCAAGTGCCCGGATAGCAAAGCAAGCGAGACTACCAAGGTAAGTGACGCAACGGCAACCACCGACACAGAGGCAAGAATACAAGAAAAGGGTAAGGGCTTACATAGCAACCTAGGTACCTATGCGGTTGCCTACTCCTCTACATGTATGCTACATATCTAATAATAGACGATGCACCAATAGACAAGCTTATTAAAGCAATACCACTGCAATGATGAGTCCAACGCAAAACATCAGCCTTACTCCTCCTTTCCAGTACGAGAACCCTGAAACTTTGGAGCTATGGCCGTAAGACGGGTTGTCGTGATCAAGGTCTGAATGGCGATGTTACCCTGTACCTCCCCTTATGCGAGGAGTAAAGACGAACCACCTACATGTAGGTAGCAGATTTATGCGTGATGATCTAATGGCTGCGATTGCATCGTGGGCCTCACTTGATTACCTATACTGCCAATACCATGACCTCGGTCCTGGGCAGCAGCACGGCTGCTACCATTGCTTCCACTGCGGCCTCAATTGATATTGTATCGTAGTGCGTTCTCATAGTTTGGGTGCGTAGTGTGTCTTATATGTTGAGAGCTTCAGGCCATTTCGAGGCCCTCATATATGCAGCGTCCGGGATGTCTGACCTGATCTTGGTCATTCAGGTGCATGCAGCCTCGGACCCCTACTTCAATGTGTACATACCCACCCTACATCCCGCAGGCATCGGCGCTTGCTGTGCTAATTAGCACCGACAACCGCTCGAATTGGTCCTAAATACCACTTCAAGTATAGCTTCCTCCTACATGCTACCTTTTCAACTTCCAAGTTAGTATAGGTAGCCTGCGCGGCGCATCTTTGGGGACCAGACTGGATGCCGACAGTGCGCTGCATCGCATCATCTGGGCTTATAGCGATCCCCCTTGTCGAGTCTCGGTCGGCCACTCCCGAGTGGGGAGGCGTTGCACCTGGTCCTGCCCTAAACTTTAGCGGCAGATCAAGCGTAATTCCTCTGCAGGCATTTAGCTGCATGTGCGCCGCTTACATGCATAGATAGGTACAAAGATCTATGCGTATACGCAGCCTATGCAGCTACAGCGTGTTTCACCCCACCCCCACGACTGCTTCAATCCCCCCTGTCCAGCCGTTTCCCCTCCTCTTTTCCTACCTCCCGAATACGCCAATGAGAGGCGCCCATCAGCACACCAGGTGCCTCCGTCATCTTCCAGAACCGCTTCTCGCAGACGCCCGGGACCAACGTACGATGACGGCTTCCAGCGCCAACGGCCGTCAAGCCATGTTCGGAGCAGGCTGAAGAATGGATAGCCTTGCCTTGGTGCAGCCTCTCGGGGCTTTCGTCCTTATACCTACCTTAGGTACGCAAAGCAGCGTGGCCACCAGCTCTCCTGTGGACCACCAATTGCTGGTGCAAACGACCTTCTACCTGACAAAATAGCCAAGCCAAACGACTCTCCTCGCTCATCCCCTTCTTCTTGTACGACAACTATACAAGACGGCACCTCCGTCTATGGCGAAGCAGAGCATGCCTTTGCGGTCATAGCATGTACCTGCATGTCATACGGTGTCAGCACAGCCCGCCACTGATGCATTTCTTGCTTCGCAACCGTCCCCACACTCGCTGCTACATCTTGCCGTCGTCTTTTCGTCTCTTCCCATGGCCAAAGCTTTGGCGATCCTCACGGCTGAGCCCCCTTGGCCCTTGGGCAATTAGCCCATTTGCGAGACTGCCCACATGCAATGCAACACACGTGAAGTCACTCGTGTTATTACCGCGCAGGGAATATTGAGGAGAAAGAAGAGGTCAGGGAAAGGGAAAGAGAAGAGGGGATTTTCCCCATGGCTTGGTAGGTGAATATTCTATCATCTTGGCCGTTGGATCCCGGCTAACTTGACAGCAGCAAGGTAGCCGCGCATCATCTCCATCAACCCCCCGGCTTGTACAAGTACTGCGCGTAATGCTCAGGCAAAAGCCCACATCGCTCGCTCGGCCTGCATGGCACACTATCTCTCTTTGTCTTTCGATGCAATATGGAGCACCTTGAATATAGTCAGGTGAGCTGCATTCTGAGCTCGGCTGCCCTCCCTCTGGCCCTGCGTATTCCCCGTGCCTCATGATGAAACGGCTGCAAGACGCTCAGGCTCGTCTCCATCCGGTGCCCGCCCTGACGTACAGGCGTGCCTCTAAGCTCCATTGAGCGAGAGCCTTTGGTAGTTGTGTTTTGAGGACGGCCAGCTTCGTTCACGCCGTCCGTCCCAAAACGGTCCGGTCAAGCTCATCCCATAGGGTTGATTGAGACGCTTCCCAGACAGGACTCGGGGCATGTCCGCTCGTCTCGCATGCATTCAACCCCTGTTCAACACTAATTGCTCCATCCCAGGCCTGCCATTGTACACAGGATGACAACCGAGGATGGGAACTCTGCTTAGCCCGACTCAGAGCAGTGGCGACTATCGCTGCTCCCGCACCGTCTTCGCATGCGCGCCGGACCCCTGCTTTGGCCGCTGTATAGCTAGCTTGAATAGGTTTCTCCCACAGGACCTGCGCTCCTGAGAAAAGATATATATACATATGGCATCACTTTCGTACCTACACTTCAGAGGGGATCGCAGTCCCCAACGAGCACCGACGGGTTGGCCTGCCATTTGCGCAATACGGGAAACGTCACAACGGAAAGGCAGCACTTATTCCATCCGTCCCCTCTGTTCTGAAGAGCTGGGATCAATCCTACCGACACTCCTTGCATTTTGTCCTACCTTGGCTCGATCTACTTCATCTCATCAGTCGATTGAGCGACGCTGTGCTCAACACCTCAGAGACCTGTTATCGCCTGTGCTACCGGATTCCCTCCCCGTCTGAACACACTACTAGGGCTCCTTTTATTAAGAGCCGCTTCCCCCCGACACATCTCATCCTGACCACATGTTACACAACGTCTCCGGATCTACCTTTACGCTCATCATCGTATAGCATCGTTCCCGAGTCCCTCCCTGACTCCGTGGAACCAAGCGGCTAGGATCTGGACCCCAAATTTCCACGCCAATCTCGCCGTTACATCCTCAGGATCCGCAATTGGACCGGTGTAAAACTACCGATCTCTTGCATCCTTCGCTCACTATTTGGACAAGCCGTGCCCTCGATTCCTGCGAGAACAAGAGCACCCCACAGCACTCAATATACCTACCTTGTGTTGTATACATCCGTTCACATCCACACCTACATATATATATATACACCTCCATTGGAACATTCGCCCGACCCGAAGTTTCGTCTCGAATCAACCTCAGTCATATCAATTGATCCGAGGCACATCATATCCGTCTAATCACCTATTGCCTCAGACATTGGCCACTACACTCATAGTCTTCTTGGAAGGGCCTACTATACGACAAGCGGTCAACCACATCATCTTATAAATTAATATAATTACCAGGGCCTTGTGAAATCGGTTACAATGTCGCAAATGACCTTCAAGGGATTCACAGACGGGCCTGATTTCAGGCCGTTCGCCTGTGATTGGGAGGCATGCAAGAAGGTATGGCACAATCAGTTATCTGATCAAAGTTGTCACAGCCCAGACCATTGACACAGCCGCAGGACTTCAAACGAAGATCAGACCTCACAAGACACTACAAGATCCACACAAACGAGCGACCGCACCCGTGTACAGCCCCTGGCTGCGAAAAGAGATTCATTCAGCGCAGTGCTCTTGCTGTCCACACTCGGACACACACCGGCGAGAAGCCACACAAGTGTAAATTCCCCGGCTGCATTAAGCGATTCTCCGATGTAAGTCAACGACAAAGCATTCCGGCGTCTTTATCCGGCGGATTAGAACGCTCACAGAAGAATTAGTCGTCGAGTCTTGCCAGGCACCGTCACGTCCACACAGGGAGCCGTAGTCGCAGATGCGCACACATCGATTGCCCCAAGAGGTATGCATTCGAGTCTTTCTCCGAGTACCAAACAGTGTCGCTGACACACTTGGCAGCTTTTGCCGCAACAAGCTTGCCGTCAAGCAGAAGCACCATTCGCAACAGCGTGATATCTTTGGTGGCCAGATCGATTGTGTTTCTGATTCCGAATCTAGCCGGTCGTCATCCATGCCGGCCCAGCCAACTACGCCCCAGCCTCTGCTCAGCATGGGACTGCAGGGCAGCATGTTTCAACACACTTCATCTGCTTCCGATTTCGACGGCCAGGTGCAAATCTGCTACATCGACGAGCCGTTCCACTCTCCCCAAGCTGGTCCTGATGACTTGCACGACATGCCCTCGCTGCATCGGTTCAACAGCCTGCCTCTATATGCGATGGGACAGGGCAATGCCCATTTGGAGACAGTGGACCTTGATAGCCCGTATCCCGGCTCGATGGGACATTCCCCAATCGACCCGTCGTATCCAACACTGGGCCTCAGCGATAGCCCAGGCAGCAGTCCCAGCAGCCTGACGCCGACTTCCAGCCATGGCTCCATGTCACAAAAGAGCTACTACAAGTACATGGGCCTACAGAATGCCACATACTCTCTCAAGAACGCGTCGCCTATCGGACAGGCTACGCCGATGATGAGCTACTCTCAACAGCTGGCTCAAGCACGGCAGCAGATGCTGATCAACCCGGGACAAATCCCAAGCCAGACCGTGGCGCGCTACGACTCTCCTCCCGTCACGATGGGGAAGTCTGAGCCGTGGTATGGATATGAGTCCTACGGCGTGTACAACATTTAAGCAACGGCTCGTCTTTTATTATTACAAAACAAAAATTTATACTTCGGCGGCTGCTATGACAAATAAAAGCGGAATACAATAAACGGCGAATCAAAATAAAGGGGGATCCATGGAGGTTGGGCAACTTTTTCCTTTGTTAACAGCGGGGAGGTAGTCGAGACCGGCACTGCTTTACGAGTTCTGGAGAACGGCCCTAATTGCTTGTACAGACGATATATATCTATTCCCTGTGTATACCTGCGTTTCTTTTGTAAATGCGCCTTTTAACAGGCCTAATGAATCAAGAAATATTCAACATGAGCACGATTAAACACAAGGGTTTGGGTCAATTCGTCCGCACAATGACAATAAAGATACTACTAGGTAGTACTCGTGTACACTTGATACAGAGGTAAGAGCAAGCCCTGGCCAGCCACTCGGAATGTGGCTGCGGAACCCCAGACGCAGCTTGCGCCACGTCTCACTCACGTGACACGCCATCGGAATGCTGACTAACAGACGGCGTAGGCTCGGAAAAGCCTGGTAGACCGATCGTCGCCGATAGAACAGAGGGCCGCGATTGAGTGGCAAGTTCTCTTTCCGTCTCTTTCACTATACCTCGCGACTCCAACCGGCATCATGAGGGCGTCGAGGTAGAAGCTTTTTTCTCTTGCATCCGGACAACTACCCTCAGCCCGCGCTAATCCACTTGTTACTTGGCGATTCGGCAGGAGGAGGGATTCTCTTACTGTCGGCATCTGCTGGGCCTGGCCGGCTCCTTCGATAGCGCCAGGTCTTGCCAGGGCAGGCTGCTGCTCCACGTCATACGATCGAACGGCCATTGAGGCATCCCTGCCTCTTCGACTCTGGCTCCTTGACTTTTGTTGTCGCTAGATTCTGGTATCCAACATCTGATTTAAGCCTTGGTATAAGGCGACGTCAATCGTGGCGATGGCGTTCCACGGTGGTCTGCTGCCTGTAAGTAGCTATGCCGGGGTCGCTCGATGGTGGCCGAGCTGTCTTTGGACCCTGAAATCGGATATCGAGATACTGACAGGAAATGAATACGAATAGTCAATGGCAGCAGCCGCAGCGGACACCCTACCTTCCATCACCAACACCCTCATGCGACCCTGGCGACCCTCGGCTGTGCCCCGCCAGCAGACCGATGCGACTGTTGGAGCCGATACTGCGCGGTCCGCTTCTGCGGCTGAGGCCGCGGAGAAGGTGAGCAGCTCATCTCTCTGGATGATATTCAACGACCTACGACGTTAACCTTGATGATGATGTTGTTGTTGCAGACGGCGCGAGTCCAGTTGCCCGATTTCCTTCAGCAGGCCTCCACGTACGCACCAAAGGCCATAGCCTCCAACGCGATGGTGACAATCGATGTGCGCGCATCCATCTCTGGATTGGGCCGGGTCGGCCTGCTTGCAGCGAATCCGGTTCTACGAAGACCCTTCTTCCAGCCCGTCAACACCGTCTCGTCTCCCCTTGTCAAGCTCTTTATGCGATCTACCCCCGCCGTCTCGACCCCGCTACGCGCCATGTCCACGACACGTATTCTCTCCGGAACACTCGGTCTGCAGCGCAGAGGCTTTGGAACTTCGAATGGAATTTCTCGCAGCCAGCTGGCTTCCGTCGAGGAATCGGCAAACAGGAACCCCGGAAACGCCAACCTTCAAAACGCTTTTTACCAGCTTCTGCTTAGGGCCAATATGCCTGGCATCTTGGTGGAACGGTATCAAACCGGCCGCTTCGCAACGAACGCAGCCACCGAAGAGGCTTACAGAAAGGCACTGGCTGCTCTGAATAGTGGTACGAGCACCGTGGCCACGGCCACTGCTACTCCTGGATTTGCTCGTGGACAATGGGCCGGCAACGAACAGGCTATTGCCAATGCGGCTCTTAGCGGCTCGATGGGCGTCAAGGGCGAGCCAATCCACGTCGTGGTCCAAGAGTCAACGCGATCTCTCGTCTTCCGTTGGGTTAAGTTCTTTGCGACCTTCATCGTATTCACCTATCTGTGTTTCGCCGCCGTGACGATTTTGATCGAGACGCTCAGCACCTTTAGGCGTGGGCCAGGGGCCAAGACGGACTCGGAAGTCAAGGCTGAGAAGCAAACAACCCGATTCGACGATGTCCACGGATGCGACGAGGCCAAGGAAGAGCTTCAGGAAGTTGTCGAATTCTTGCGCAACCCCGACAGCTTCTCCGATCTCGGAGCGAAGCTACCCAAGGGTGTTCTTCTCGTTGGCCCCCCCGGTACTGGAAAGACGCTGCTCGCTCGCGCCGTGGCTGGAGAGGCGGGCGTTCCCTTCTTCTACATGTCTGGCAGTGAATTCGACGAGATCTTTGTTGGTGTCGGGGCCAAGCGCGTCCGCGAGCTTTTTGCGGCGGCAAAGGCCAAGTCCCCCGCCATCATCTTCATCGACGAACTGGATGCCATTGGTGGAAAGCGTAACCCTAGGGACCAAGCGCACTCAAAACAGACCCTGAACCAGCTTCTCACGGAACTCGATGGCTTCGACACGGATACCAAGATCATCATCATGGCTGCCACCAACTTGCCCAAGTTGCTGGACAAGGCCCTCACCCGACCCGGACGATTCGACCGACACATCAACGTGGACTTGCCGGACGTTCGCGGCCGCATTGCCATTCTGAGACATCATGCCAAGAAGATTAGACTCGCCCCTGATGTCGATCTTGAAGCCATTGCCGCTCGCTCGCCTGGACAATCTGGTGCCGACCTCGAGAACATGCTGAATGTCGCAGCACTACGCGCTAGCAGGGCAAAGGCTCGTGAGGTTTCCAAGCAGGATATCGACTGGGCATTCGATCGCATCACCATGGGCGCCGAGAGAAAGTCGATGGTCGTGACGGAAAAGGAAAAGGAAATGACGGCATACCACGAAGCTGGCCACGCTCTCGTCCAACTGTTCGAAAAGGAGAGCTCCAACCGGCTGTACAAGGTTACGATTCTTCCCAAGGGCCCCTCGCTGGGCCACACTGCTCACCTTCCCGCCATGGACAAGTACTCATACACTGCGGCCGAGTACATGTCCAACATTCGTGTGCTTCTGGGAGGCAAGATGGCTGAAGAGATGCGATATGGTGACGACAAAGTGACGTCTGGTGTTTCCAATGTAGGTTCCTTTGGGTGTTGGAATGTGTGTGAATATGTGCTAACGGCTGGATATAGGATCTGGAGAGAGCTACGGATCTGGGCTTCATGATGGTCACCCACTTTGGCATGTCCAGCGCGCTGGGTCCGGTTGAGTACGGCCGAAGGTACGAGAACCTCAGTTCTGAGACCAAGGCTCTGATTGAGGGCGAGGTCCAAAAGACGCTGAGGAAATCGTACGAAGACGTGAGAAAGGTGTTGACGGAGAAGCGGAAAGAGCTGGACCTGTTGGCACAGGCACTGGTGCAGTACGAGACGCTGGACAAGGATGAGGTCGAAAGGGTTATCCGGGGAGAAAAGCTGCCAGGTCGGACAATAGTGCCCAAGGGGCCGCTGACGCTACCGATCCCAGATGATATCCCCCCGCCGCCGGGGCTGGGAGTGCCACAGCCTCATCCCCCGCCATCACCAGCCCCTCCGGCCTCAGCTAGGTCATCTGCTACATGAGGATTTTCGGGGGAGGATGATGACGGCGATACGCAGTATTGATATGCTATGGAAGTGAAAAATATCGATATCGAGAGGGCGGCAAATATATCCCTTCGTTTATATGCACGGAGCTTCCCAATTGGCCGTGGCCGGAGGGGTTGGCTAGCGAGCAAGTCGAAGCGATGTTTGTTTGATAGTATTCGGAAAATTTCACGAACGAGGAAGGCCAAAGGGAAGCGGCATCAATGGCCTGAAGGGCATGGAGTTGCTCTTGTGGAGGAGGCTTTGCAATAGTGGCAAAGCGCATTGGGACGGTCTCCTTTGTGAACAGCGTGGTGTGGCTTGGGATGGATGCATTTGGGACAGAAATTGGGTCTTGAAGAAATGCTACTGTACTGTATTACAACTCTCTATCTTGTACATTGAACGTCGCTGGATTTCATATGCCATGGAATACCACCGTTTCCTGTTTGCTTACCTGGTTTCCCATCTTCTTGTTGTCAAGTTCTTTTGAGCTGGGGGGGATGACTTGGGACGACGATGTGGTCGACGCTCACAGCACCTGGTTTTGTCTGCTGCCATGGATGCCCGCACATTGGTGGATATTCAACCTCCCCTTGTCGCTCTCCAACTAGTAGGTAGTTGGTCTAGTTGATGCCATCCCCCCCCCCCATCTACGCCCTTTCAACTAACAATGCGTTTAGGCTACTAGTTCCCAGCTGTTGTCGCCTTAACCCCGAAACAACAGGTCGGACATAGTCTCTCTCGCGGGGATTTTGGTGCCGTTTTATCTCCTCCCTCCCCTTGTTAACCCCATCTACACACACACACACACACACATCCACACTGTTACTGCATTCTCCGATGGAGCCCAAGATTTGAGGGGGGGCTTTGCTTTTCATCACCACTTTTGGAGACCCGCTCTGCGGTGGTGGTGGTGGCCGATGGCGGGGAAGCAAAGTGATGGAGGCAAGGCGGGGGGAGGGAGAGAAAAGAAAGATTGAAGACGTGATTTGACGTCAGGATGGGGGTGGGTTTGCTTTTTTGTGTAGGAAGGAGCTGTTGTTTCTTGAATCTCGGCTATTTGATCCAGCTGTTTCTCCTCTATCTTCTTTCTTTCTTTCTCTCCAAGATTCTTTCTCTACCTTTTTTTTTCTCCCATTTGAACGAGTGGTATCTAAAGAACTTATTGTGGCTGTACGTTTGTTGTCGACACAGCTCGCTTTAGACGGATATCATCCCGTTTTATACGTTCCAAGGAGAATCAATTCAGGATGACCAAGGTTCTTCTCACAGGTGAGTTGCTCCTCCTTCTTCTGTATAAAGAATGATGAGTGCTAATGATTTGAAAAGGTGGTTCGGGCTTCATTGCCGGTACGTCTCATACGTGACGCTGCTCTTCACCGTCCAGGACAACGAGATAACATGAGACGATGACAACCCCCCTTCCCACCACTCACCCGTCAACACACAAGGCAAGATTACACACACAACTCTAACCACAACTCCTCCAGGCCACATCCTCGAACAACTCCTCTCCAAAAACCACACCGTAATCACCACCGTCCGCACCGAGGAAAAAGCCCAAAAGCTGCGCTCCGCCCACTCCTCCTCCTCCTCCTCAACCAACCTCACCGTCGCCATCGTCCCGGACATTGCCCTCCCGCACGCCTTCGACGCCGTCGTCGCAGAGCACGCCCAAGATTTGGAAGTCGTCCTGCACACCGCCAGCCCGTTCCACTACCGCTGGACGGACGCCCAGCGGGAGCTCATCGAGCCGGCGCTCAACGGCACGCGCGGCATCCTCGAGGCCATCCACCGCGACGCGCCGTCCGTGAAGAGGGTCGTCATCACGTCTTCGTTTGCGGCGATCCTGTCGGAGGAGAGGCTTCATGATCCACAGACGACCTTTACGGAAGACTCGTGGAACCCGGATGGCGTCGATGCCGTTGGGCGCTCGCCGCCTACGGCGTACCGCGTGAGCAAGACTGCCGCGGAGCGCCTCGCGTGGGACTTTGTCGCCCAGAAGAAGCCCTCGTTTGACCTCGTCACCGTGAATCCACCCGTGGTCTTTGGCCCCGTGGCGCATAGCCTCGCCTCGCTCGAGTCAATCAACACCTCCAACGAGCGCATCGTCGCCCTGCTCAAGGGCGAGTGGAAGACTCGCATCGCGGATACGGGGCCCGTCGGTCTGTGGATCGACGTCCGTGACGCCGCGGCCGCGCACATCAGGGCCTTTGAGATCCCCGAAGCCGGAGGACAGCGCCTGTTTACCGTGGCGGGGAGGACGTCGAATCGCGACGTGGCGAGGATCGTGAGGGAGAATTTCCCAGAGTATGCGGATCGGTTGCCCGGGCCTGAGGTTCCTGGCGGGGAGCCGGCGGATGAGAAGAGCACTTTCAAGTATGACAATCAGAAGACGTACAAGTTGCTGGGGATTGAGTGGATTCCGATTGAGAAGAGCATCGTGGATACCGTCAAGTCGCTGAAGGCTTATGGGATCTGAACCAGTTTGAGGGGGGTGGTATAATCTGTAGCTTATTGAAGCGAATAGATTTCATTAGGTGACAAAAGAGAAATAGACGCTTAGATCTATGTGAATCTTGGAGCCGCTCGTTATATATGATGCCAACCAGGTTCCTCTTCCCCCTCTCCTAGTCTTATCTAACACGCGCATGACGTTGAACTACCAGCCGTCTCAATCCCCCCTTTCACCAACCTCACTCCGTCTTCGTGGCGCTATTCAAGCAAACCTCGTTTAGCAACGGACTCCTCGCATGCTTCGCCCTCCTCGTAGACTGCAAGCCCGACTCCCTAGCCGTCCTTCCATTACCACCACTCTCCTCCCTCGATTTTCGGGGACATCTGTTTCCTTCGGTCGCTCCCAAAGACGGCTGTGGCGCAGGCGCAGCCCCTGAGCTAGGCGATGCTCGCCGCGTCGGGCTTTTGGGCGATGCCAGCGGCGACCTCAGAGGGCTCCTTCGGCCATCCGCGGGGAGACTTGGAAGCGCCCTGTTCGGAGGCGGTCCGGGGCTGGCCAGGCCTCGAATCACCGGCGGCGTCTCGTACACGCGGGCCGGCTGCCGGGGAAGCTCCATGGCAGTGACGACGCTGCTGGGCCCGAATTGCGCCGAGTCCGAAGATGCATTTGACGCCACCGCCCTCAGGGTGCTGGCCCTGCTGAATACGCTCGAGAGGCTGCCAGCCGGCGGGATGTCGTTTCGAGGTGGCCGTGGCGGAGCCGTAGTCGTCATCGAAATGGTTGTGGTTGCCGTGATGCCGCTCGGCTCGTCCTGCTCCAGAGGCCGCTTGGCAGGTCTGGAGGCGGACGGCGGAGTAAGCGGCGGCATGGGGGCCAGCGGCACTGCGGACCATTCTTCGGGCTCCTCCTCGTCATCACGCCGACGGCGGTAGTTGCTGCGGCGGAGGCTCAGGGCCCTGGTCAGCAAGAATCGGCGCTCCTGCAGCCGTGCGGGTGGCGTCAGGGGGCCGTTTGTTGGCGGTCCGGCGTATGAACTTGATGGCGAGATGAGCGGCGTGGGAGGGAGGCTGCTGGGCTTGACGGGACGGCTGATGCGCTTCTTGTTTCGGAGCCGTATCCTTATCCTCATGTGCCATGCGATCAGGGCGACGACGGCCAGGATCCCGACCATGACGGACACGCCAATGGTGACTTTTGTGCCAGACGGCACTTTGCTTGTGTCTTGGGCTCTTTCGCGAAGAGGTGTCGATGTCTTCGTCGTGACGGCGTGAAGCACATGAGAATCTGAGGCAGTCAAGCAAGGAAGTATCTCGTTCGCAGGAGGCGGGCTCGTCTTAGTTGTGATGGTGTGGAAACCCTCCACGAGGAAACCTGATGGAGTGGCTGTTGTGGAAGCCCCGGCGGGTGCAGTATTCTCCCGACGGGCATCTTCTCTTCCACGTTTGCTTTTTGACAGAACATGTGCCTGATCCGGATCTGCTGGGTTGGTTGAGGCGTCGTAGCCCTCACTGCCAATAGCCATATTAACAAGTGTTTCTCCAGCATGCGTAGATTGAGAGTTGTACAATACCTTTGACAGGAACTGAGGACCCGGCTGATGCCCACTAGAAAAATACTTAGCCATATACACGCTCAATCTCGCAAAGGCTGACGCACAGTTAATATCAGCGTCCGCCATGACACCCATCTCACACAGCTGTGAGTCACAACAGTAAAGCATAGGGAGGCCGTGTCCCTCATTCTGAGCGAGTTTCGAGAATGCCCGACATAGTTCATCGTAATCCTCCCCATTGGACGCCAGTGATGTCCAGAACCGTGCCCGGCAGTCAGAAGCACAAGCTTGAACTTGTAGAGAATTACTTCTAGAGTAGTAGATGGAGTCGCCAATGCAGTGCTCTTCTTCCATGGCGATCCGTCTCAAGGCTTTGCAGTGTCTATGTGTAAGTCTAAGTCTTCAGATGAAGGAACAGTAAAGCAAGTCGTGACCTCGTCAAGGAAAATGCTAGGATGGTTGAACGATCTCCAGTAGAAGAGACAATCTGCAGTCATGTGAAAAGTGAGCGTATATGCTACATGAGCAACAACGAACGAGGACGCCAACTCAAACTGTCGCAAGAGCCAAAGATACGGGAAAGCATGGACGGTAAAGGTATCAACAAGGTTCACACGTCGGAGGGCTTGAGCCGATACTATATACCTCGTGGATGGCCACTCTTTGGTGCGGAGAGGAGACACAGGTGTGAGTATGGTCCATTCCCTTTTGGCAGGGAGCAGAGAGCATCTCGACCTCGAAAGAGAACGAACAACGGACGGTGCCATGGCCATATGCAGGTGGGTCTCACAACGGTTCTGCAGCATACCGCTCCCGACGAGGACAGCCTCGTATGGCCCTCTGATTGTAGTCAGGTCCCTGAAGAGCTTTCGAAAAACTTCACTTCGCGTCCTATCAAACACCCAATAGCCTCCATCAACGTTGGGGGCGCGTTCGGATACGGAGAGGACGCTAATGGAATGGAAGCCATGCGAGAGCCCCTACTGATGCGCCATGTCCGGGGCACAACAACCTGGTCGAGCTGTAGACTATTCAGCAGCAACTCGCTTCCATCCCAATTGCGTGCATCGTGGAACCCTCCCAAGTGCCGTAGCGGATGATTGCTTCCCGGTGGCTTCCCTAGGCTTTCCCCCTTGTCGGATCATGGCCTCCTCGTGGGAAGACCAAATTAGCATGGCACGAGTCGTAGATCTCCTGGGACAAACGCCGCCCGTGACCGTCGGACCCCTGTTCTCCTGATTGCTGGTTCAACGTCGATTCGGGGTGGCAATCTCCAACGGCAAACACATTGGCCATTCGACTCCACGTGAAAGCGGGCGTCTCCGATTCCTTCGAAGCTGGCTGCTCTAGCGTGCTTCGAGGGCTGAAGGTGGCATATAGTATTCTGCCCAATAGCCTGGTAGCAAGCTCGTACGACACGCCCTCAGTTGGATCGGAGTGTATTCTGCAGCTGGAGTTGGTGTTGCTTGACCACCGGTAACGCCAAGCGGAGGGGGATTGCTCAAAGTAGCCAATGGACCCAAGCTGATTCGTAAAGAGAGCAAGTTAACGGCGCAGAGTCAATAACGTGGTTCGTGAGATACTTGTGGGCCAAGCTCTTCCCCTCTGGAACAGTTGGTGTGGTTCGCATAGGATGATGAGAAGCAATGCGAGTCATCCGGGGGATATTGACCTCGGAAGTACTATCGAGTGACAATAGAACAGCGGACGCTGGTGCTGTTGCCCACATATACTTGAGAAGATGGAAGCGAGAGAGAAGGCCGCAGTTGGCCGTCCAGGGGTCACACAATGCCAGCAGCCCTTCTGTCCTATCCCAAGTCCATGTGGCATCATTGTTTGCGATAAGCCGGCACTAGTCCAACAATCTCGGTGATAGACGAGGCCTGACAAACAAGCGCAAACCACCCTCGCGCGGCGTTTCCCTTTCTCGCTGCTCCCGAGAAGCCTGCAGAGAGCGATGACCCTTGATGAGACTGCAATTCGCAGCGCATCGCAAAGGGTGCCCTCCAATCCCTTCGAAGAGAGTGAGGGAAGGGGAATGCGGCCAAGCAGTCGTACCATGGGTGATGGCAGAGAAAGGGAAATCAAGTATTACCCATCCACCGCCAGAGCAGAAAGAGGCTCGATACGCTCACCAGCGAGGCACCGTGGAACCCCAAGCTCGGGCAGCAGGAGCCACGGAAAAGTCCCTTCTTGTGCCTTGCAGTAGAAGTGACACACTCTGCGCTGCTCGGCGCCATCGAGATCGAATCAGGGGGAAAAGAGACGCTGACCAAATGTTGCCGTGCAGGGGTGCTACAGCCCGAGCGGCTGAATCGCGTCGTGGAGAGCCCGAAGCTTGCATGATGCCGCAAACAGGTGGCCGGAGAGGCGCCAGTCAGAGCAAAGGGCGGCTTCATTTTCGTATCCATGCCGCTCGCGAGTTGAGGTCTGGGGAGTCGGGCGTTTGGAGACCGCAGCTGATCAACGCTCTCGGCGTTCTGCGAGGTAACCATAGCGGAAGACAAGAGGAGCCGGGAGGAAGCAATGACGTCTGTTGCTCGGAAGACGAGCCAGCCTGGACCTTTTCCTCTGTGCCTCTGCCACTCTGTGCACTCATGTCTTTCTCTTCCTCTGTGCTTGTGTCTCTGTCGCCCTCACAGTGTGTCTCGCGGCGTCAGTCCTTCCCTCCGCAACTCTCTCTGTTTCTGGCATCCGCAGCCTTTCCTACTGGATGCCCAAGCCAGGGCAGATTCCAACCCTGTAAAAGACGTAAAACCCTCTGGTCATCTTCCCTGCTCTTTCCTGCAGCGCCTCAATCCAAACAATGCGAGGCGCCCGTATACCAAAGCTTGGCTTATGCGACCGACCTGCAAGCCCACTCTAATGCACGAAGCCGCCTCCCAGGGCGCACAATCACCGTCCCCTCCAGCGGTGTGACCGTTTTCGTGTGAAAGCAAAAGGTGCAGAGAGGCATCAGAGCAAGGGCTGATAAAGAGGCGCTGAATGCTTTTGACCAGGGAAATGTCGCTTGCTTCGATTCAACTTGTGTGTGAGTAGGTAGTAGTTTCGCAATAGAGATTGCAGGTTACGCCAGGCACAGAGTTGCGGGACTGGGCGACTCGTATGTCAGCATATTCTAGTAGGTAATTTGAGATCGGAGTGATCAGCTGAATCGCAGGAGCGGTGGATGGATGCAAATGAATTGGCGAGATATACGATGGTGCACGAAGGTGAGGCAGAGCCAATGATGGTGATGATGAGGAGGGCAAAGTTGCAAGCTGGTTTGTGTAGGATCATGCGCTGCCGGTTATCGGGCTTTCGTTATCGTCGTCCTCGGTGGGAAGGCTCGTACATACCTACTAGTAGTAGTAGTTTAGTACCTTCCAGGCAGGTTGGGTGATACTACAGATCAGCGATAGCAACAAAGTCCAATCACTGCATGTGCAATAGATTAAAAAATCAATAGGCTGGCTATACAGCACTGAGAAGCTGAAAGAAAGGCCAAAATAGTCGATCCCAAGGCATCCGGATGGTGTTGAGGAGAAGATACAGTGCGGGCATGGTCCTGCAGCCAGTCGCAACGCAAGAGATGCAATGGACATTGCACAGCAGCAATACAATTGTCATTCTGCATGTCTCATAATGGTATTTGTCACCGATTCCGATCATGTGAGTCTTGAAAGGCGCAAAGCTTTGAGTTGACAGACTCGGATGATACCAATGGCGGAATCCGTATGCTATGAATTATTATAGTCATGCTTATACGAGAATAAATGATACGTACAGCGTGCAGGTTTTCAGTAGACATTCTCACCCAAATGCAACTGCTGAGTTGGTCAATAGCCGACAACTCCCTAGAACCTACGACCACCTTGATATCCATCAAATCCATATTCGTAAGCAATCTCAAGAAACGTCTATTGTCCCCGGGAAACCCTATGTACCAGCTTTTGCGGGGGAAATCCATCTCCCCATCTTCATCTCCATCTTCATCCCCATCTTCACCCCAGGCCAAAACAAGCCTAGCTCCCTCGGCGCGCCGTGAGCCTCGGCACCTTGGTAGGCGGAGTTGCCATGAATCTTCCCCGGATATGAATGCTGGGGTATAAACGACTCCATTCCATTTTGAAGTAAGCATCGTTGGCCATGTAGATTTGAGTTTCAGTTTGCATGATTCTACCTCATCTGATGTGCCATTTCATTGAACACTCCATCTTGCGTCCACTACCCTACATCCATCATCAAAGGTCACCACACAACCACATCTCAGTATAGCATCATCGCCTTACACGCCCCTCAACTCACAAGCACTCGCCCGCCATGTCCGACAAAGCCCAGAACCGCATCCAAGCAGTCTCCTCTCATCTCCTCCCTCCCATATCCAAAGTCGCCCCCGGCTCAAGCAAACCCCGAGTCCAAGACAAGGTCGTCATCATCACAGGTATGTAATAACCCGCCCCCTTCTCCCACCTCTCCTCACCCTCCCACCTCCATCCCCGATTCCCATTGCTCAGCATCCCTTCTCATCTCTCATGCTCAACTCACTCACTCACCTCACACACATACACACAAAAACAGGCGCCAACTCCGCCCTCGGAATAGGCAGAGCAACCGCCCACCAATACGCCGAGAGCGGCGCAAAGGCCATTTACATCTGCGACTTCGACGCCTCCAACCTCGAGGCTCACAAGCAGGAAATCACACAGCTGTACCCCGGCGTCGACGTCCACACGCGCCAGTTCGATGCCTCGGATGAAGCAAAGGTCAAGGCCGTCGTCGACGACGCAATGCAGCGCTACGGCCGCCTCGACGTCTTCTTCGCCAACGCGGGCATCACCGGCCCCAACGTCATCTTCACCGACATTAGCGCCGAGGATTTCATGAATGTCTACAAGGTCAACACCCTGAGGTTCGTTCACTCCATATCGTATATATCTATACAACCATCACCCGTAGTATGCAGAGAAAAACTAACCAGAGCTGCAGCGTCTTCCTCGCCGCCAAACACGCCGCCCCAGCCATGGCAAAAACATCCCCCCAAAAGCCCACTCCCGGCGGCAGCATCATCGGCACCGCCTCCGTCGCCGGCCTCCGCTCCAACGCCGGCAGCACCGCCTACTCCGCCGCCAAGGCCGGCGTCGTCTCCCTCGCCCAGACAATCTCCTACCAGCTTGCCGGCTCCGGCGTCCGCGTCAACGCCATCTGCCCGGGCATCATTGAGACGGGCATGACGGCGCCCGTGTACGAGGCTGCGCGCGCGCGAGGCAGCGAGAAGAAGATTGGACAGCTGAATCCGACGAAGCGCGGCGGACGTGCGGACGAGGTTGCGCGTGTCGTCTTGTTCCTGGGGAGTGACGAGGCGAGCTATGTGAATGGACAGGCCTGGGCTGTCGATGGAGGGTTGAGCGCCGGACATCCCTTTGTCCCGGGCAAGCTGGCCTAAGGGACTTGAGCCGAGGTGTCGTACGTTGAGCGGTGTACATCATATCCATATGAGAGAAGCACATGTATATAACCATCCTAGCGGCCGTCAGATTTGCATTGCTGCTCATTGGGTATCATTGCCTGTACTGCTCTCCAAAGACGCAGACAGCACTGCAATCCGCGCCAAGGTGGCCTCTTTCCACGCCCTGTACTCTGTTCTACGCCTCTCGCTCAAGTAATCGTACTTGTCCTGGAACATGGTGTCCGCTCTCTGTTGCTGGCCGTGTGCCGCATCTTCCTCGTCGTAGCCATACTCTATATCACCATCCTGCGGCAAATCTCTATCGATGACATCCGCAATGCCGTGATACCAGTCGGCCTCTAGCCAGCCACTTTCGCGGACCTTCACCACCGCAGCATCAAAACTCTCGTCGTTCAAGTCGGTCCAGCCTTCCCAGAGGACATCTGGCTCTACCCCTTTGACTTGGACTTCTTGCCGAGCTCGACCAAGCTGACCGAGGACCTCTGCGCGAGCCGGTTCATATACCTGAGGCTGCATCGCTTGCTCAACATCCGCATCGCTCACACGCATCGCGACAAAGAAGATGATGGCCGCACATAGCGCTGTCGTGTTCTCCCATGCCCAGACATCCTTCGTCTTCCGTCCACCAGAGAGTAGAATCGATTCCATGCCTGCCAGCATTGAGGGCGCCAGTTTCTTGTGTCCAGACCCAGCGCAGAGGTGCCGTATGACGGGCTGAACCCAGGGATATATTGCTGACTCTGGGATACTAATGTGGCTATGCCTGCGCGACTTGGTCGGCGTACTGGGATTTGAGCCCGCCTGTTTTCTGAACTGCGCAAGACTGGCCTCTTTGGTGGGCTGAGGCCGTGAAGGGACGGGGCGTGTTTGTGATGCCGGCGAGTCTCCCACGTCTCGCTGCCTGCGTGTTCTGCGCCCGCTTGCTGACGTATTGGGAAGGATATTGTCAAGATGTGTATAGAGACGCTTGTAGACCTTGGGGGGTATAGGCGGCCGAGGTTCTATCGTCGGGAGGTCGAGGGGAATCTTGAGTCTGGGCAAAATGTAACTGATGAGTGGCCGAACGCTTTCAAGCTGAAGTGATGGAATCAATTACCTGTTACAGGCAATATGCGCACAAGCATAGAGGCGGGCAATCTCCTCTTCGGCCTTGAGGGTGCTGGCTAGGTGTCGCGACTGGGCGAGGAGGGAGCTGGCGGATTCGACGAGGGAGGGCGGCAGGTCGGAGCCGTAGGTCGGCATCAGCGAGACGAGCGCGAGCTCAACTGCAGATTTGCTCATTGCGAGGGAACGGTGGTGATGCCTTTACGCTGAATGGAGGGAAAGAGACGTTGGAGAGGTGCTGGAATGTTTCTGCTGCTGGCTTGCGAAGTGAGCCGTGAAGGGAGACGCGAGGCGGGGCGGAGGGAAACGCGAGATCACGGGGTCCGACTTAGAGCTGGGGAGCAGTTGATTACATGTAGGTACCTGTACAGTTGAGAGAGGCGCCTCTCACCTGGACATGATGTCTCTAAACTTGATTCATGTTTCAATTGCAGTGCTTCCACCTGCAACAAGTAGGTGGAGATGACACAAGAGAGTCCCGGTGACCTGCCTCTATGCGTCGATGCCCATGTGATGCCATAAAGATTAAGACGTTGCATCGGATAGAGTCAATATAGGTACCTACTCGTACCTACAGAGTGGTCACGGTAGCTTCAGCGCTGTTCCGATGTCGTTCTAGGCGCCTCCCCCGCCCTCCCCTCGCCCCTGGGCGTCACCTCCAGCGCCTCCAGCGCCTCCAGCACGGGCTCCATCTGCATCCATGTGCTCTTCCCTGTGCGCCGCCGCTCAAAAGTACAGCCAGCGAAGCGCCACATCTCAACTCGGCGTCTATTATCATCATCGTGTACTTTCACAATTGTCACAGCCCATCGCATCGCATCCTGTCGCATCACATCCCGTCTGTTCCTGCTGTGACCACTTGACTCATTATAGCCGATACTTCTGCTGCGCGACAAGATGCGCTCGCTGCTCCTCTGCTCCGCCATCGCGGGCCTGGCCATTGCCCACGGCTCGCACTCCCAGAAGCCCATTGTCGACCCAAACGCCAACTGGATGACAAAACACATGGCCGGTGAGTTCCCCCCTCCCCCAAGCCCCAGATTCTCTTCAATTGAATCCTCGTACTGAGAAGTGTCTTTATCTTCAGAGGAGCACCACGTCGACGGCTGGGACGCCGCCTCCTTCTTCACCCTCCACGACTACGACAGCGACGGCTACTGGAAAGGCGACGAGCTCCTCCGCACCTACGGCCTCATGGACGAGTCCAACAAGCACGTCTCCTGGGAGCGCCGCGACGAGATCCTGCGCGGCCTGCTCGACCTGCTCGACTTCAACCGCGACGGCCTCGTCAGCCGCGACGAGTGGACCGCCTTCACGGCGCAGGGCAAGACGCTGCCCGACATGAACACGGGGCCCGGCCACCACGGCGACGACGAGTACGAGTACGAGATTCACCATTGGGAAAAGTACCATGACGAGAACTCCAAGCTCGAGGACTTGAATCATCCCGAGGACATTGAGCACTTTAAGAAGCATGAGGAGATGGAGGATGAGCAGGAACGGCTGGAGAAGATGGACCAGATGGCCATTATAGAGGAGAATATCCCTAAAAAGTTCTTTAGGGCTAGCTGAACGTGGTTTTTTTTTTTTCCCAGGGTGGTTTGGTCGAAGAGTATGTTTGGGAGCTAATGATATGAATTGGTGGGAAAGCGACGGCGCAAGGGGGGGAGGGTTGGCATGAGGATGATGAGATCTGCCATGATGTTGACATGTTGAATGTTTTCCAATGTGATGCATATATTTAGCCTTCATGTACTATTGTTAGATATACTACTACTACTACTAATACTCATACTGCTTGTAATACACACATCAAAGACGCAATGCCAGACCCCTGGCGCAAACGTCTTTACCTGCTCAACATGCTCAACCCTCGGCACCCTCCTCCTCCTCCCTGAAGATCCATCCTCAGCAGCCCACGCCTCAAACATGCCCTGAATCGACATCCTCCGAGATGTAATATCCTCCACCCCAACATTCTCATGCAAATGCAACCAAGCAGCCTCCTCCGTCAACCCCGTCATCTCCCACGCACTCCTCCACACCGGCTCGCTAGTGGGCAGAAACCCGCCATTGACGTGCTCGATATCGCGAACAAGTCCCCTTGCCTGCGCCTCCTGGATGCGTTCCCCAGCCCTCTCGTTGCTCTCCAGAAAGATGACAATCTGCTCTCCCGAAGCCAACAGCGCCTCCATCGACAACTTCAGATCCTCCCCCTGGACGACTCTGACAGTCCACTTGTTCGCCAGCGCACCCCGTCGAAGGCCCTCCACGCTCCAGGGATTAATCTCCCAGCACAGAACCCTCATTCCCAGCTTCGCATACGAAAACACAAAGTATCCAATCCCGGCATACATGTCCACAGCCCATCTGTCCCCCCCTCTCCCTCTCCCTCCTCCTCCTCCTCCTCCTCCTCCTCCTCCTCGCTTCACAGAATAAGGCCGCTTGAACCCCAAGACGCGGGCCTTTTCCTTGACGTTCCCCCGCGAGAACATGGTCCATCGGGGCGCCCACGTCTGCACAATCCCATTCTGCTTCGTCCCAACCCAAAACGCCTCCTCAAAGTCCCTCTCCGTAGGCTCCTTCTCCTCATCACCCTCCTCGCCAACAACTCCCGCGGGCCCGAAATCTCCAAACAGCAGCTTCAGTCCGCTGGGGCTCCTGCGCACGTTCTCGGCCTCTTCGCCGTCCTTGTGCAGCGGGATGCCCTCGTTCACAGCGAGATGCGTGACTTTGCCCTGTCCGGCTTTGGAAATCTGCTCCAAGATTGAGCTCCATAGTGAGTTGCGGGCTGCCTCGTCGCAGGTCTGGAGGACAGAGGCCCATGGCTCGCTGGCGAAACTGCCCGTCGGGAGTAAGGCGAGGGGTTCGTAGATGGTGAAGCGCTTCGGCGCCGAGCTCAACAGCTGCTCAAATCGAGAGTCCTGGTCATTATTGTCTGAGTTTGTAGGGGAAAGTGTTGTTGCGATCCAGGTTAAGGCTGCGGCTGTGATGGGATTGACTTGACGCTGCTTGGATTTTCTGTGGCAATTTTGGTTGCCTGATTGATGAGGTTCCATTGAGCTGGCGCCTTTGAGGGGTTCGAAGTGGCGACAGATCAGTACAAATTCCAGGCGTGACTGTGTTGTAATAGGTTCCCGAACGTATATGTGCTGGTCGTTATGCTGGTGGTTCAGAGGATGACGAGATGTAAATGTGAGGTTGAGTTTTCTCCAGCCCACTGACTCGAGGTTGGGTAATATTCGTCAAGCCGACTATCAGCACCACCAACTCACCTGCATCCCCAATGAGGAGCAAGAAAGATATAAAAAGAGACAACGTGTATCAAATACCCGTCTAATGATAATAATCACCGCTATTCGTGTCCGCTAGCCAGATCCCCGTCCATCCTACCCATAATCCTAATGCGTTGTCGATTCTTCAAAGTCATGGATATCTCAACCCGTATGCTAGTAGTTTACATGCAAAATCCCAACCCAACACGTCCCAATCTAATTGATACCTGTCTCTCAACCCCTCTCCCCCACTCCTCTCTGTCTCCTCCGTCACTCGCCGTAATCTCTTCACAAGAAGTAGTCGCCCGGCGATCTACGACTTGCGGGTACATGCCTCATGTCATCGGGAACCGCGGAGAATATGCTAAACTTGGGAGCGAGGTCGTTGTCAACCGTCATTATTGACGCGACATTGCCACATCGGTAACAGTAGTTGGGAGCCGACCAGACCGTCACGACTGAATTTTCGTCAAAATGATACTGGAATCGGGGTTAGCCACGTCGGCACACAACAGCTGGGCTTCTGCAGGTTTCGACAGACGAGGATGGCAACTTACTTTATATCCTTCGTTCACAAGCTGATGCGCTCGCGCAATCAACTTCAGGCCGTTGACGTGATTAAACTCCGTGGCCACCTTGTCACCAAACAGCCAGCCCGCGCCTCTCGGGCTCACGGCCCACGTGTCTATGTCGTCGGGATCTGACCATACCAGATCACAAAACGCTCCTTCGTGAGGAATCTCCTGCGCGCGGGCAACGACCCGGATCTGATCAATAGTCCGGATCTCGGGACTCAAGCCGCCGTGGACGCAGAGCAGCTCGCCATCGACGATGGCGGCGAGGACAAGGAAATCAAAGACGTGGCAGCATGCCTTCCATACGGAGGCGTTGCCGTATTTCTGCTGACATTCTTCGTAGAAGCCGTACACCTGTGTGATTTGGCGGGACTCGTGGTTCCCTCTGACAAGAACAATGCGATCTGGGTATCTATAATGGTGTCAGTATGCTGTGTTGAATCAAAGAAGAACATACGGGACGAGAGCAGGATTTCTTTGTTTTCGTTCAAGGCGCAGAATCCCATCTTCAGCAGTGCCGAGGCAAGGGAGTATTCCAAGGGAACAACAGCAAGGACATACTTTGCCTTCAAGCACATGAGCAATGTAAACGCCTCCAAGCTAAAGTATCCTCTATCGACGTAGTCCCCGAGAAAGACAAAGCGAGTCGGCGCGCTCTGCGACGACGTCACCGTGCTCGTCGCGGGCACGTTGCCGGCTGCCTGCTGCTGCTGCTGCTCTTCCTCGCCGTCCTCGTCGCCGTCCGCATCTCCCGCGCTATCGGCGCCGCCCCCGGGCGACTTTAGCTTCTTGCGCAGCTTCGGGTTTGTGATCTCGGTGGGCGGCTCGATGTCCTCGGAGGTGATGACGGAGGTCGCCGACTTGGGCGCCTGGACGTTTGTCTCGCCCGGCATGCCGCCGGCGACGCGGAAGAGCTCGAGCAGGTCGTAGAACTGGCCGTGGATGTCGCCGCAGACGGTGACGGGCGTGCAGACGGGCTGGATGTTGGACTCTGCGACAAGGCTCGTGGCGTTAGCTGACTGCGTGTGCAGGCTCCTTCTCATCAGCTTGTTCGTTCCATACCCTCCATCAATATCTCCTTGACCTTTTCGCACAGCTCCTTCATGGCCCTCTCGGGCAGGTAGTGGCACTGCTTGGCCTCCTCCAGCCACTCGTCCAGCCCGGCATTGGGGCCCAGGTTGGCAGGCCCTGGTCGAGGAACGTTTGTCGTCATCGTGGCGACTGCGAGAGGCGACGGCGCAAGCTGCTGGGTTGAGGGCAGCCCGACAGGATGCCGATATGCGGGCGATATGGAGGTGGATGGATGAGGGCTGTGGTTAGAGATTCCGATGCTTTCATCAGCGGCCCAAAGATGGCCATGCGAGTTTCTGTGGTGGGGGGCAATCAATCCAATGGATGTTTGGCTGCGGCGGTGTTTGGCTGCAGCACAGGGCGGTTTCAGGGCGCCAGGGGCTGCGCTTCAGTGGGACGAGGGCGCCGGATCTTCCTCGGAGGGGCCTGTGCGCTTGCTGGACAGTGACGTGCTGCGCTAATGGGTAGGTGTGCTGCTGGAGGTTCCAGGTTGCCTGAACTCCACTGGTTTTGCCGCCTCTCAGTGGGTGATTGATGGTGGTGAAGCTCCCTCACGTCTTACAGACAATTCGATGATGCCGCTGAAACGACTCAAACATGCCTCTCTTTTCTCTTAATTTTCAACCTTGGAAGGGCCATCACTCCACTGCCCTCTCGCTTATTTACCTGACTTAGTAAGTAAGTCAAAAAAAAGCTACACCCTCCTTGTCATCATCAAGTCATCAACATCCGCATTCCATCAGACCTCAAATCTCATCTTCATCCGCCGCGGCACGTGACCGCTCCATAGACCTAAACGCAAGCCGCTGCTCAACCACGACGCAAAGAAAAACGAGGCTCGATTAAATCCGGCTCGGAACCTCACTTTGAGTGCATTCGCCGTCCTACCAACAACCGCCGCCCCTGCTCTCACTCCTGAACAAACGCCAATCATTGCTCCTTGCACCGTGAACAGCGGGCCCGCGTTCTCTCAAATGACGGAAGGCTGCGACTCGGTCTCTGATAACTCTTCATCCTCGCCAATCTGACCCTCGCCATCTCGGACCTCAGCCTCGCGCTCAACGGCCCCCAGATTGGCTGACCAGGCCCCCTTTTGATGCTCGCACATGCTGCTCCAGTCTCCCTGACGTGACGCCTCCCAAATCCTTGCGACATGCGCAATGTCGACTCAAACACCGCAGGTCCTGTCTCGCAGGACAAACGCCTCGGCAGCCGAATCTACCAAGGTGAGAGGACGCCCGGCGCCCTGTCGGGGAACCGCTGAACTGATGCCCCCCTGCTCAGGGTAAAGCTGCTGCCGACCGGCCAGGTAAGGCCAAGGGCTCAGCTGAGAAGCACGGCGAGGCTCGAAGCACCGCCCATGACGCAGACACGCCAAAGGCGACCAAGACCAGGGCTCCCCAGGAAGGTGAAAAGGTCATCATCCGACGCCTGCCTCCTGGCCTGACTGAGGCTGAATGTCTGTCGATTCTGGGTCCTGAGTGGGCGGTGGGCAATGGAAAGGTCGACTGGTTTTCCTACGCCGTCGGCAAGGTCTCCAACGAGTATGTCTGCGGCCCTCCTGATGCCCATCCCTTGTCTCTTGTCTGTTGTCCCAAGGTTTAGACGCACTAACATTGGCGACGTCAAAAGGCTTTCAAAGCCATCGCGGCCCGCTAGAGCATACATACACCTGATGCGCAAGGAATATATCATGCCGCTCAGCGATTTTGTTCGAAACGCCACCTGGGAGGACGCAAAATCCACCTTCACCAGCCCTTCACTCATCGGCCCCCCTGTTCTAGAGATTGCCATCTACAAGAAGGTGCCGGGCAACAAGAAGCGGGTAGATGCTCGCCAGGGGACTATTGACCAAGATCCGGAATTCATGGCATTTCTCGAAGGCCTCGCCAACCCTGCTCCGCCCAGGGAAAGCAACGAGAACGACGACGTCGAGGAACCAGCCGAAACCAAGGTCACCACCACGCCGCTGATTGAGTATCTGAAGGAGAAGAAGGCAAATAAAGCCAAGGAAGCCGCTGCTGCCAAGAGCGCAAAGCACGCGAGGCAGCAAGAGGCCTCGGCGTCAAAGGGCAAATCTGCGTCAAAGGACGATGAGGGCTCCAAGAAGAAGGGCAAAGAGGCCAAGAACCCCAAATCGGACAAGGCTGCCCCGAAGGAGCCCGTCAAGATCCTCACCAAGAAGGCCGCCGCCGCTGAGCAGTCTGCTGACGCCTCCAAGCCGGCCGCAAATCAGGCCAGCAACGCAAGCACAAGCAGTGCTGCTGCCAACGCCGCAGAAGCACCCACTTCCAAGAGTCGCCGTGCTGGCGTCTCGATTGCCGCCCGGATATTGCAGCGAGACCTTGGTCTTAGCCCTGGTAGTGCCTATCGACGAGCCCGACAAGACGCTGCAAAGGCCGAGGCCGGCTCCAAACCCACGGCAGCCGGCAAGGAAAGCAAAGAGCAGCCCAGCGCAGCAAGTGAAAACACGGCGCCCTCCGCGCAGGCTTCGGCCGAATCATCAACAAGTGCTCCGGCACCTGCGAAAGACAACGCGTCAAAGAGTCAGCAGTCAGCGCGCAAGACCCGTGGCGGTAAGAATGCCGACAAGGCCAAGGCCTCGGAATCGCCCAGCACGTCCACGCCCGTCATTCTCAAAAAGAAGGGCGGCGCCGGCCCCGATGCAGAGGCAGCAAAATCTGCTGCTGAGACAGCCACCGCCTCTCAGCAAAAAGACAGCTCCAAGTCGGCCACCAGCGCGGCAAACGGCCCCAAGGGTTCTTCCGCCAAGTCTTCGGGCTCTCAAAAGAAATCTGGCGCGGCCTCTTCATCCGCCAATGGCACTCGCGGCTTTGTCAAACACGCCAACTCTTCCCAGGGCATCACGGAGCCCGTCTTGAAGCAGGCTCTCGAGGCGTTTGGCACCGTCACGTTTATCGAGGTGGACAAACGCAAGGGCTTCGCTTATGTTGACTTCTCAGACCACGCCGGCCTTGCCAAGGCCATCTCAGCCAGTCCCATTTCCGTCGCACAAGGAACGGTCCAGGTCTTGGAGCGCAAGGACAAGAAGCCTGCCGCTGCCGCTGCCGCTGCCGCCTCGTCTGGCAGCGGCAACACTGCTGCCACACCCAACACGGCCAAGGACAGCGCTGCTTCCGAAAAGAGCTCGAATCCAACGAGTTCCGGACGTGGCAGACGTGGGAGGGGTGGTAAAGGAGCAGCTTCTTCTTCTACCAATGGAACTGCTGTTGCTGCAACGAGCGGCGGCTGAGCGGTTCTACGACTCTAGCAACACCCTTTCGACGCCTTCCATACTAAGTATCAAATCTGACCCAGACATTCATCTTGACGGATTCGGTCACAACTTCAAGCGCGCCTCCATCCCACGGAGCTCTTCTCTCCCCCCCATGGGACGAAAAAAAGAAGAGATGAGCTTCCTATGCTTTACACTGAAGACAGGCATCCAGCATCGAGAGCCGGCATTTCATCGCTTTAGGACCCATTCTGTTTGTTGCAAGGGCTGTCTAATAACCCGCATTCACGGCAGGACTGCAGTTTCCGACGGCACAACAGTCGGGTCCTTCCAAGGGGGGGGTTAGATCTGAGCTTTCAGAAGCCTCTGCCATAGATCTACATGCATGTATCTGCAACGGGGGGGAAATCAAGGGAGACTTGGAGAGATGGAACTAGGAACACATGCTTCAGGCGGGGGAGAGCGAGGGCTGGTCTACTACGCACTCACTCTTGGTATGTATTGCCGAACAACTGCCAATGGTCGCGAATAGCTTCATTACTATGCGAGATTCCCCTGGTCCTCGGATAATTGAAGCTTGCTTCACCCCGTAGTCAAATGCTAGTGTTGTAGCGAAACAAAAGTTGTCGAGCATTTGTCTGCTATACTAATGATTGACCGTTTTGGATGGCTGCATTTGACCAAATGTTGAATGTAGGAAACAGCACCGACTTGATCTCCAAGTCCATGGTTTTAATTCCACAACGTCAACGACACATTCAACCCTGGTACTTTAAAATCTAGGGAATGAGCATCACGCACAACGACGGACTAAACCACCGTCATTTGGGTAGAAATATCATATTCAAGTACAAGCGACGTCTGATAAACCTAGATAACAACCATTTTTTCACCCCGCAAGGGATCGTCCACATACATCTAATACCGAAGAACAAAAGGCGTTGAGGCGAAAAGGGAACCAGAACATGTATATCCACAAAACATAATCGTAAAGGTTGAAGGCGAAGTGAAAGAGATGAAACGAATTGAAGACAAGAAAGGCACATTTTTCAAAACCACAAGATCAAGGGGGAATAGTAGGAAAATGACGAAAAGAAAACCCTGAAAACAAAGCCCCCCCCATCCTCCGTCTATCTCATAAGGGAACAAATACCCGTTACATCGTAATCTTAGAAACCAAGCGTACATCTATCCAAGACAAAACAAAATACAAGGCAACTGCTAGAAAGAAACCCACCGCAACGGCTTCCCCTTCGGAGGCAATTCTCCGCACCCTGGCCTTCAGGTCGCCCACCCAGAGCCTTTGTCCGGCCTCGCGCCGAGCCGCTCTCAGTCCGGGGAGGCCATCAAGACTGCTGCAATTGTTGGTGACTTGATAGCCCAGCGTCTTGTTGTTTTGGGCCTGTTTTGCAGAATAGCTGTCCAGGGTGGGGCGCTGTTCAAACACCGAAAGCTCGGTAAGCTTTTCGCCGTCCCTAAGTCCTCGGCGGAGAATGTCTTCAACAGCCACAGGGACACCAGCATTGCTCGGGTCATCTCCATCATCCTCGGAGGTGTAGATTCCCTTTTTGACCCGCGGGACACCAAAGCCACAGCTGGTTTGGGTCTGCCAAATGTCGCAAAGAATGACGGCGCGAGCACCGTCAAATGTCTCTCGCTTGCCCTTGGCAATCCTGCGCACCAGGTCAGGGAATGCAGGCTGGTCCCACTCCACAACCGTAGCACGACAGAAGAGTCGTAGGATGCCCGGTGAGGGGCCAAAGCTCATGAACATGAGACAGAGGCGGCCATTTTCATACGCGTGAGAAATCGTCTCGCACCCAGATCCAGTGCGATCAATGTATGCGCATTGGTTGGGGCCGAAGACGGCAAAATGCGCATCAAGGCCTTTGGGGGAGACGTTGATGTGTCGACCATGAGTAGAAGCTGATCCAGTGAAGAAGACGGGCTGCTGCTCTGCCCAACGAGCAAGCTCATCAGAGAGAGATGGCGAGAGCTTCATGATGCCGGGGAGCGACGGCGTGGTCTCAGCAAGGTGTGCTGTGACTGGCCACCACCACTCACAAGTGACGTTAGAGGCAGAGCAATCTTGGGCAACTAGGCGGCGAGAGAGGGATGCAATGGCCGAAACATAGAGCTGGTCCTCGGAAACAATGCAAAGAAGACAATCGCGACCAGAAAAGAGGAAGAAAGAGAAGAAAGAGAGAGAAAAATAAAAGGGAAGAGAGTTGGAGAAGCAACCAGAAAACGGCCGACATCGACGACCTAGGTGAGCCGTGTCGCAGTCGGACACTTTTCTTTACAGTCGACAGCATCCTAAGCGGGTCGTGATGCGTCACCCCAAAGGGTCGCAGTCATCAGGATCGATGCTAACATCCAAGCAGCATAGTGCCCCAAAATAGCCGGGTGGGTAAAAGACAAAGCGGAGAAGAGCATTGGCCCACGATGCATGATAAGGGCCGAGAGCGGCAGAGGGCCGTATTGAGTTCCCGCAGAGGATCCCGGGGCGAGAGCGGACAAGTGGAACCAGAACCGTAAGAAAAGCATGTCCGGATTGTTGAACTGACCGAAGCCGATGTCAGAGACTGACGGGGGTAAAAGAGTAAGACGAAGAAGTGTTGAAGTAGTAGAAGAAACAGCCCAAATGGGCGTCTTGAAGTGAAAAAGGACGCAGATCGAAACAAAGTGAAGGGAAGCAAACCGCTCGACAAAAGAGCAACTAGCTCCATAGCGAGCGCCAAGATGCAGCCTGCATGCGCATGCATGTGGCTATCTAGACCACCAATATGCTTTTCTTCTTCTTTTTCTTATTCTCCCCCCCCCCCCCCCCCCCCTCCCCGTGTGGTGTAGTGACACCCAGACTTACTCAGCCCTGGGCTGGGAAATGGGGTAGGGATGGTAATTGCCGTCCTCGTAGCTCCCGTCGTCGTCAAACACGGCGGCTGTGCTCCCAGCAACGCTGAAGATCCGAGGAGTCATTGGATCAGTTGCCGTCCGGGGAATGCTGGCATAGACTGGCTTGCTGCCAGGTGTGACAGCGGGCACTTGCACGTGTCCCCTGTGGCCGTTGAGTCCGTTGTGACCATGAGGTCCGCCATGGGGGCCGTGGAGTCCATTGGGTCCATTGATTCCATTGGGCCCGTTGGTGTAACTGCGAGTGGAGGATCCCGAGGCCGAAGACGACCGGCCGGCGGGTCCCCAACCCTCGATGAAGCTGTTCCGCCGGTGGGCCATCGGAGGAGGTGGAGGCGCCGGAGCAGGCGGGGCTGGGCGCCTCTCCTCGAAGCGGCGGGAGAGGCGTTCCTTTTCCGCCTTGTGCTCCTTCTTCTCCTTCTCCCTCTCCTTGTCCTTTTCTTTTTCCTTTTCCCGGTCGCGCTTGTCCTCCTTGGTGCGGTCGCGCGACTTCTCCCTGTCTCGGACGCGGCTACGTTCCTCGCGGTCCTCCTTGCGCTCCTTCTTGCTAGAGGAGCGGGAGACCTTGGGACGCTCCGGCACCGAGCCGGAGAGGCCGCTGCCGGCGTTGGAGGAGTAGGCGGGAGAGGCGCTGTTCAGCGTATTGTACCGGTGTGAGAGATCGGTGTACTTGGCCTTGAGGTCGTCAAAGCCCCGGGCCAGCTCGCCGTTCTCGTGGCGGAGCCGGTCATTTTCCTTCATGAGGAGCTCATACCTTTCCTGGAAAGAGACGGCGCTGTCCTTCAAGGCCTGGTTTTGGGCCTTGAGGTCGGTGATGGTACCCGTCGCCTCGGCGAGCTTCTTGTCGGCCTGGTTGTATAAGCTGAGGTAGCGGTCCCTTTCTGAGTTAGTCTTGTTCAGCTCGGTGTGAGCATTGTTGAGGGAGTCGAGCAGACGACGGTCAAAGTCGGGAGTAGCTGTGAGAGAGTCAGTATAGGTAAGCAACAGGACGGGTGAAATGCGACCCATAGAGACCCGGGAGAAGGATGTTTCGATAAGGCACAAGCAGGAAGATGGGGTAGACGAACCGTAAGGCGACTGCGCCTGCGACACCGAGGCCCTGCGCGCCGAATTGGCGGAGACTCGCTGATGCAGAGACATGGCTGGCGATATGATTGCGACCGATAGACAGACGCAGTATGAGTCGTAGCAAAGTAGCTTTTATTTCTCGCCCTCTTTCTATTTTCTCTTTTCTCCCAACCGCAGGTGGGATGCGACGCTGCCCAACGCTTGTGCGGCAGGGGTGGGAAAAGACGCAGCGACAAGCAGCCGAGGCACCAAAAGCCCTCTTTTTTCACCCAAGGATCATTCGTCAACCCAAGCGCGCTATGCACTGGTCGCTGTAGGATATGCAGGTCGAGGGCAGAGAGACGTGTCTCCAAATGCAAAAATGCTCATGTGCGTCTGCAAGATCCGCAGGCTTTCAGATGGGGTCGCGTGTCGGAGGTGCAAGGGGACACACGATTCGATGCGTGTAAGTTGCGTTGCTCAATCTGGCGAAAGGCGATGCCGCGCAAGATGTAAGAAGGTATTGAGGTAGAGATGATGAGAAGGATGAATGAATGAGGAGAGAAGAGAAGAGAAGAGAAGACGAGAAGATGTAAAGGTTAAAAAGGAGAAGATAGGGAGAGACAGGAAGGAAAGAATTTTCTCTCTCTCTCTCTGCTCTTTCCTTTGCAGCGCCCGGCAGAATGCGGAATAAAGCAGGTAAGTAGGTAGGTACGGTCCTCAGCCCGGTTGCGCCTTGCCTGTCAGATAGAGAAAAAGGCCCGTTCACACACACACTCGCGCACGCACGTACGCAGGATGTATGTAAGTAATACTTGTTTGGTGTGAGGTCAAGGTGAGATGAGTAGGTACGCAGGGAGATGATAGGAAGACGAAGAAGATTGTGGGAGGAGGATCAGCAACAGATAAAAGGAAAAGGAACCCAAAGAGAAGAGAGAGAGAGAGAGAGAGGAAACGGCCGGGGGCGAGGGAATCTGATCGGTGACAATTTTCCTGCCTTGGGGAGAGACTCTGGTCTGGAATAACGCCTGGGAGGATCAGGACAGGACAGGACCAGGGGCTGAGGAAAAGACTGCAAAGTGGCCGGACGGGAGGGAGGGAGGGTGTGGCGCCATACAGGTGGTAATAGCAATCATGAGAGGTGTCAGCAGAGAGAAAAGAAGAAGAAAAACTAAGTAAATCACACATAAACAAGGCGTTCTGGACACTCCCCAGGTACAAGAAGGAAGACGAACAAAAAGGAGCGTCGAGTATCGAGTACATGGACATGCGGTATCGCTCCGTGTAAGCCGTCGCGGCAAAAGGTACGCCTCCGGCCCAGCAAATCTCACGAGAGCCCACGCGTAGCTTCACCACCAGCCCGCGGCAATCCTCACAGGCTCCCTCTTCACACGCCCGTCGTGTATCTGCTACAAACAGCCAAAAGCAGCAGCCCACGGACCGGCACCTCGAAAGCGTCTGCCAAAACCCTCCGAGTCCCTTGTCACGGGCGTCTTCTGTCCTACGATTGGCCACGCCGCGGGCTGTGTCGTCTTGTTTGTCAAGGCACCGACGGCTGCCTTCGTCCAGATTTTTTTTTTTTCTTCTCTTTTTACAGCCCCCAAGAATGAATAGTGTTGCCGCTAGTTTGAAATGAAGGAGAGCCCAAAGATTCGATTGGATTGGTGTGTGAGCCTGTTGTCACTTTGCTTTCTTGCTTCGGGACGCGCTGCAGCCTGCCGCGGACCACCAGGTGAGCTGGCATGAGAGAAGCGGATGGAAGACGGTGAGTCACCCAGGCAGGACTTGTCAATGAGGAAGTATACTAGATAGTAAGCTGGCTGGATATCACGAGATGGTGTTTGGATGTCTCTGATTGTTGTCTGTCTTGAGTTGAGCAATACTTGCAGGTATATATCTGCAACCTGGACATTGCGGTTGGTACTTGAGACGACATGTCCCCGTACATCACCACTTGTTCAGCATCATCATCGCTCTAAACTCGAGGTGTTGTCGCATGGAGAGCCCTGGTCCAGCCACATCATTCACTTCAACAATCCGGCCCTCGATGCTGCTGCTGCAACCCGAGCGTCACCGCCTTCAACCACACGCGACCGCTCTTCAAGGCAGCCTCCCGTCGGTTCCATTCCACATCGCATCGTAGTGGCTGCCTCCTCACCGATCTTCCCATCTAATGGTGGTGTTCCTGCTTCCAGCTCTGTCCGCGCGCACTGCAGCGCCGTCACGGCTGAAAGAGGCCAATGCATGCATGCATGTATGTATGTATGTGGGCTCAAGCCTGACAGCGCATGTTGCAATCGCATGGACCCGGTAGACGCACGGGAAGCTGCAGAAATCGGAGTGTCACAGCCGCAGACGTGCATGTACGTGCATGCCTCTGAGACACGTCCAGATTTTCATCATCAGTCTATCTTTCTTTTTTTTTTTTTCTTTTTCCAGTGCGAAGTTCCATTACACCAACGACCACACCAGCATAGATGGGGGATTGTCATGGAGAGTGGCATCTACGTCAACTCCCACTAGTAACAGCGTCTAGGCATCAACTGGGCGGATCGGGCCGCTCTCACCAAGCACCAGCTGCTGACATGGACGCCCGTGGCTTGGACCCGGTCTGTCTGTGGCAGTGTCAAACCGGCAACCGTGATAATATCATGACCACCAAAGATGCCTCTTGTCATGACGCTGCAGTTGAGCATCTTATTCACCATGCCATTCTCATGCTTCCAACCCGGGATCCGCCTCGTCCACGTTCACGCTCAAAACACACGCATCACAGTGGCAAATAGCTGCCCAAGCACTCAACTCTCCGTAAAACCACATCCAATCCTTCAAGCTCCTCTGTACAACCAGCCACCTCATCACCGTGGCTCAAGGTAAAAACGCCTTTAAAATAAAATAGTAATGCCTAAACGAACCCCCCCATCCTCCACAGCCCAAAAGCGGACATTTTCGTCATCGCTGCAAGCAAACATCCCCCCTTTCTCCGTTTTTCTTTTCTTCAACGTTTCACATCCTTGGAAGATTGTTTTTTTTTTTTTTTCTTTTCCATGGTGTAACACCCTGCGCTGTCCTTTTGCCCCTGGACACTTTTTCTTTCGTTGCTTTCTTTCCCCTTGTCTTCTGTTTGTGGTGTTTCAAGAACACAACACACCAACAACTCTCACCTCGCACCATCGCCCAACTAGGTAATCAGAGGAGGAAACAGTAAAGAACAAGGCGGAGAAGACATCTTTGCAACTTCGAAACACAAGTCTGACCCTCGCACTCAACGACAAAGAACTTTGATCACTGCATTCTTTCTCCTGTACAATCATGTCTGCAACAGCAGTTTCTCGAGCTTTTATCACATGTATCCCGTGCTTGTAGAAACTCCAACAGCAGCGCGTGATGACACGCCTGCTAATCGGATAGCTACCCGAAAATACCTACCTAGAGTAATTGCAAGATGATACCTAGTTCACATGACTCTTCCGTAGGCTGCTCTGAGACTTGATGCCATTCGGACACATCACGAGCTGAACAATACTGATGGATCGCATGTAGCCCTCGTTTTACAAAAGAAAGGAAGAAATGATTGATGTATATATATCCAGGTATCATGTATAAACCAACGTCTCAAGCCGCATGAAATTTATAGAGGAAAAGCCCAGAAAAGAGAAATCGTAGCATAGAAGGAAAATGTCGTAAATACTTCAAAAAAGCCAAGAGACATATGAGACGTGATATCAAGTCCAAATCCCATTGCCGATCCAACCATGTAAATACCAATACAAAGGAAAAAGAAAAGTGAAAGCCCAAGCCGAGGCTGTTCGTCTATATCCAAGAGCAACAGTCAGTCAGTCAACCCATCTATCCTATAGTTAACACCGTCCACATACCAAAAGATAGAGTAAGAAAAGAAAAAACCCCAAGTAATACAGTCGACAATCTCCGGGTTGCTCTGCAGGCAAAGTGACCGTGTAAAAGAAGAAAAAAAAAAAAACGTCAAGTCTCTAGCCAGCAAAGTTCAAGAAGAAGAAGACAGACAAGAGGAAGAAACAGAAGAAGAAGAAGAAGAAGAAGAAGATATAGGACAAAGATACAAGGCAAAAGACCAAATCGACAGCTCAAATCATATCGTTGCGCCGCAAAATGTCCTCATACGCCTTCATCTTCCTCGTCCTCGTCTCCATCAAGTCGAAAATGTCATTGTACCGCTTCAGCAGTTCCTCGTACCGCGACCGCCAGTGCTTATACTGATGCTTCCAAAACTCGACATCCCCCAGGAGCTCCGACACGCGCCGGCTGAAGCTCTGCTCCAGCGTCCTCGACAAGCTCCTGTTCTTCTCCCTCAGGCCCGCGTTCTCCTCCCTCAGCTCGAGGTTGTCCGCCTCCAGCTTGGTGATCTTGAACCTCAGCAGCCTCTCCTCCTCGCGATGATGGTGGTGCTTGGACGACGAGCCGTTGTTGTCGCTCACCGTCTTCTCGATGCTCCGGCGCAGCGCCTCGTTCTCAATCGTCAGCACGCCGATCTGCTTCTCGAGCCCGGGCACGACGACGACGGTCAGGCGCTTGGCTTCGGCCTGGGCGGTGGACGCGGTCGCCTTGAGGCGGTTGACCTCGTCGACGACGGACTTGTTGAGCTCTTCGAGCTTACGCTCCTTGTCGACGAGGGCGTTCCACTCTTCGAGGCTGACTTTGATGTAGTCGATTTCGCGGACGCGGTTGTGGTGGCCGCCGTAGGAGCGCGATCTCTTGATGGAGACGAACTGCTGCCGCCCCTCGGGGGTGGTTTCGACGAACCACCGCTTGGCCATTGTTTCTGTGTTGAGTTGTTGTTGTTGTTGTTGTTGTTGTTGCTTCGTCTCCGTGATGTAGTGTTGTTGTTGGTAGTACTGTAAAGCTGGAGCTGGGCAAAGATGTAACTGACAAAGTTTGAGTTGGAGAAATAGTCAAAGTAATATAGTGATTTAGTCAAAGCCGTCAGACGACACTGGGGGGCCCAAGGCAGAGTATATATAAACCAACCCTGAGGCTACGCGGAAGCACTCGGTCAGTCCAGGTGACTGAAGCAGACACCACAACCTTCAACTCCCCCCCAAGTGCTGAATGATGAGCCCCAGCCACAGACAAGGTCAAGACATGATGAGTCTTTTCCCCGAGGAGTGTGGACCCGTATCATCAGTCCTCCAGAAATAGGACTCTTGCCCTGTTCAAAGGGGGGGGGGGGCATCAAAGAACAAAAAAAAAAAAAAAGCCCATGATAGCGGGAGCGGCAACCCGCATGAACACACACACACACACAGAGAGAGAGAGAGAGACAAGAACGTACAAACGCGGCCCGTAGCGTTCAGGGAATGAATGTGTTCATATCTTTGTAGACTGAAAGTATTGAACGATGACCACCATCAGGAGATGTGGCTGCTGTTAGCGAGGTGGCTTTGCGTACGGACGAAGGAAGCAGTTTGACCAGGGCCATGAGGGACAATGTAGTCTCATGAGGCCGAAGGGGGTTTGAGACCAGGTTTATTGTCAACGTCAACTGTTCAGAGAGTCCTTTGGGGGCCCCCTTTGCAATGAAGAGCACCTCGCACACACAGTCCACGAGGCGGAGTCGCCTGGACGGGTCACCCGGTGTGTCGGCCTCAATCTATTTTCGTTGTTGTAGGAGAGAAAGCCCTGAGCAAATTCGGCCATGGGTGAGAGAGACTGAGAATAAAAAGAGTACAGCGGCAGAGGAAGAGGCACATTGGCTGAATCCCATGTCCTGCTGCTGCTGCGATGCAAAGTTGAGGTCAGGACAGTCTCGACAAAACCCCATCGTCAATCGCATCGCATCGCCAATCGTGACGCCATGCACGTCAACCATGGCCGCAGCAAACGGGCATCTACCTTACCTAGAATAAGCGCGAGCGACCATATGCAGGCACCGCTGCATCTCTCGGGTCCTGAAGCGACCATCGACAGACCGGCGAGCCCCAGCAATTGGCTGCCATTTCCCGCCCCTCCCCTCTGGTTCCTGGACTCGCCCATGCACTTGCACCTGCAGACCAGGGCTACTGTGGAAGCAACCGCACGATGATGCCATGCAGAGAGAGAGAGTGTGTGGGAGTGGGAGGGCTCACAAGGGGGGGGGGCGGAGTCAGTTGACATGTGCACTGGGTTCATGTCCTACTGTAAGTGCGTGCATGCAGGGGTCTTGAGCAGAGTGTTGATGCATCTTTGCACTGTGCTGATGCCCGCTTCAGGCGAGGTCCACAGGCGAGCTGCCGCTCTCACAGGGGCGGCGTGGTCCTTTGCCACGCTGAGGCCGGGGTGTGTCTGGCAGAGCGCGCACTGTGCCGCGGTGGGTGTCTGACCTGCATCTGCATACACGCGCGTCTCTCCCGGCGACTGACCACTGCGCGTGCGACGGCTGTTAGTAGGTATGTACTGTTATCCCGGGGTACGAACAATGGATGATTCAGATACCTGCTACCATCACCCAAAACGGACTTGACGGCCAAGTACTGACGCAGGTACCTATCCCCCCAGTCAACTTGAGCCGCATTGATATTCCATACCTGTAATACCTTCCATCTCCTCCTCGCTCGGGAGGCATCCCAGCTGAGTCCCCCCCAAGCCCCAGTGATGGCGGCCTGTGCCTCACTCTCACTTCCAGTAACAAAGCTCCAGCTGCGCCACACCTCCTCCCACATGCCATGCCTTTCTCACCTCAATGACCTGCAGAGATCTCGACCCGTTCTTGGGTGATGCCTGCTCCCGCTTCGAGGCGGTGCTGATGCTGAGAAAGGGCCAGGCTTGCTGCTGGATCGGTTCTGCCAGATGAAGCATCTGGGTCGATCGTGATAACAGACTGGGATTACGCATTATACCTATCGACACGCAGGATGGCGCAGAGCATCCTGGTCTTTGATGCGTCAATATGCTGAAGCCTTATCACTTTACAAGACGGTAGTAATTCATTCGGCACCGCTGATTCAACCGCTTTCAGTAAGTAATACAGCACTTCGAGCCAACATATGCAACACCAACTCATGTGCATATCGCGAGGCGGCCTTCTTCAAACGAACCGGAACCTCGTCCTCCTTCCCCGAGGCATACCTATCCTCACTAATCCCTTAACAGCAGCTCAATCAACCAAACTCTTAACACCTCCCGCCTCTATACGAAGAGGCAACCATCCATCCACACCAACCCCAAGCGACCATTCCCTCCCCCCCATCTTCAGTCCTAAGGCTGCCTGCCTACATGTTTGTACCACGGGCCTAAGCGACCCTCCTCCCTCTCTACCTTATCGCCACCTCTTTTCACATACACACACACACTATCGCGTCTCATGTCATGTACGGTTCCAAAATCAGCCCTGCCCTTAACCCTTTTCTTCCTCCATCCAGGCAAACCCATTCCAACTCGCGGGACAACCGGAGTCGTCACAGGCCACGTCCCTTCTTCACCCGCCGCATCCTCCCCAAAGACGGCGGCAATGAACCAATCGTCTTCTTCCCCAATGGCTGCACCTGCCTGAGCCATCCTCCCCCTCTTTTCCACTTTTATTTTTTTCCCAGAATCCATCATAAGCTCAACGCATATCAGTCCATCAAGTCCGAAATCCGTGTCTACTTCTTTCCTGGCCTACATCTGAGTAACGGTAACTACATGTATGTACCTAGGTACATGTACTCATAGACCCATGTTGACTGAGCTTGTCATACTGAGGACTCAAAGGATCCCGCCCTAACAACAACACCACACGTGCACTATTCTGCCCTATTTTCATCCCAGTTGTTTAGGTAATAATACTTCTGTTGCCTTTCTTTGACGGAATGGCCGAGGAAGGGAGCTATTCATAGCTCTGCCCTTGCTCAAACGCAAGTTGCTGCCATGTCTTTGTCGTGTGACAAGACTATTCAGTAGGTACATCTAGGCTACAGGACGCATCTGTCAGGCCTATTGCTGGCTGCCTCAACTTACAGCAGATTGACGTTGGCAACAAAACATGCAGTATCAGTTGTATTAGTTGTCAACTTTTTTGAACCATGTCGCCATGCTGGAGAGGCTTCCCGTAACTGATCATTCCTGATGGCTCAGCATTTGCCTCAGTATAGCTACCATCTCCAAATATATCACAGCGCATGCCACACAGTCCTAATAATCTTTGAACTGCTGATATTGCTTCGACACGTACTTGCACAAATCTCGAAAAGAGGCAGCCAACACAAGGAGAAACACCCACACTGGGCACACTCAGGCTCTCGAGGAACAGAATCTTGGTTGAATCTCTCTCTTTTTCTTTTGTTCCCCAATGCTCATAGTATCTTGATTCCAAATCTACCATCCTGTGAAGATTGTAACCCATTCCTCGCCGCCGCCCACCAGTGGTATCATGTCCCCTTTCACCCTAACCCACCCCAATTCTCTCCTCCACCACGAACTTGTAAATGAAAATCGAGTAGAAGCAGTTACTCGGCCATAGTCAACGCTTTGTATAACCCCCCTAGGAAAAGGAAAAAAAAGAAACGACAATAGAAAAGGTATATATCTATATATATACACACCATTTGCCCCCCTCGCTCAAAGACTGTCGCACGTGTCAAGATGAGGAGGTAGCTCTCAGCCGCAAGTCTATCCTCCTGGCTTCTCACATTCCTGCTCACAAACGAAAAGAGACAAAGTCTATGCGTTTAAACAAGCTAGAGAAACGTAAAGAGGAAGAGCAGCATAAACGCCCCCCTTTTACCCTCTTCAAGAGCGCCATAGATGCAAAAAGGGAAACCCCATCAGTAGCTCGTCGCCAAGCATATGATAAGAGAGATCATCATCCCCTTCAGCGCGTGACTACGAAGCCAGCGCTTGTGCAACGGCAGCCTGCAAGCCTTCCAACAAGGCCGCCTCTGCCGCCGCCTCGTCATCTTGTACCGCCGTCTGGGACATTGTCGCCTCGGGCGCAGAAACGAGCTTATGCAGCTCAGTTTGCGCGGACACGGACGGCTGCTGCTGCTGCTGCTGCGGCTGCGGCTGCGGCTGAGGCGAATACGTCGGGACGGGCGAGGGCTGGAGAGGCGTCGAGATGTGTTGTGAGAGGTGCGACGGCGTTGGTGTGGAGGGAATCGTTGGTGTGGGTGAAGGATGAGGTGCCGTCCCGTTCTGGAGCTGCGTGGCGACGATCGGCGTCCCGGGCTGACTTGGCGTTGCTTGCTGATGCTGTGCGGGAGCTGGTGATTGCGGCGGTTGGATATGCGGAGATGGCTGTGGTTGGTGATACTGCTGTTGTAACGGCTGTTGCGGGGATTGAGCTGGTTGAGGGTGTGCTTGAACTTGAGGCTGCACTTGTGGTTGAGGCGTCTGAGGTTGATGTGGTACTTGGGGTTGGGGCTGCACTTGGGCTTGAGGCGCTTGAGCTTGGGGTTGTGCTGGGGCTTGAGGCTGCACTTGGGATTGAGGCACCTGAGGTTGAGGTTGTACTTGAGGTTGAGGTTGCGCTTGAAGGTGAGGCTGAGGTTGAGGTTGAGATTGGTGGTGCTGAAGTTGAGGTTGAGGTTGGTGCTGAGGTTGAGGTTGAGGTTGAGGTTGAGATTGAAGTTGAGGTTGAGGATGGTGCTGAGGCTGAGGTTGAATTTGGTGTTGTAGTTGAGGTTGGTGCTGAGATTGAGGTTGAGCTTGCGCAGGTATCGGTATGTGATTCTGGGCCTGTGGCATGGCTGGTGTATGTGTCTGGACTTGACTCTGCGCCTGGGTATATTGTTGATGTTGGTGCTGCTGCTGTGCTTGTTGCTGCTGCTGCATCTGCGGTTGAGCCTGCGGTTGAGCCTGAGGTTGAGCCTGAGGTTGAGCCTGGGCCACGGGCACCTGCGGAGCAAGCTGAGTCTGCGGTCGCTGAGGTGCCAGCGGGACATGCTGCGAAGCCTGCTGCGCCGCCGCCAAATGAGAGTCGGGTTTGATCTGCGCCGTGTTGGGCAGGATGATGCCGCCTCGCTGGATCGGCGCCAGGTTGGCCTGCGGCGTGCTTGTCATGGTTGCCGTCGGTGTGTGATGCAGATGCGACGCATGCTGCTGTGCGGAGGATGCCGACTGAGCTGCGCTCGCAGCCTGGGCTGGCGTCACGACACTCTGCCCGACGGCTGCCGCCACTGTGACGGGTGGCCTGGCTTGGTGATGAAGCGGTTGTCTCTGCTGATGCTGAAGTTGGTGCTGATGCTGATGCTGATGCTGATGCTGGTGCTGGTGCTGGTGCTGGTGCTGGTGTTGCTGCTGAGGCGGGTGCTGTAGTCCCCCGGCCAATGCCATGATGCCCTGCAGCTTGGCCTGTTCCTCCTCAGAGTTCATCCGCGCTCTCTCTTCGGCCTCCTTCCGGGCAGCCTGGGTCGGGGCTCGAGTCTTGAGCTCCCCCGTGACGGCTTGCAGATAGTACGGCATTTCCGAGTTGGTCTTGAGGAAGAACAGCTTCAGATTTCGTGCCTTGTCCTTCAGCTGCACCTGTGTCCTGTCCTTGAGGATATCGGAAATGGTGCCATTTTGACCGAACAGAGTCAGAATCTGACTCCAATGAGGGCCCTTGACCATGTCGAGACCGGCCATGAGCGCCTTTTCCTCCTCCTGGGTCCAGGGTCGGCGAGTCGAGTGAAGTCCTTCTCTCCGCGTATGCGCCGATGACTTGGAGAGCGCTGCTTGGCGAGCTTTGTCGTACAGGATGGCGCTGGGGAAGGTCTGATTAGGTGGGAGGTTGTCGGAGGATCCTGCAGGCTGCTGAGGTTGCTGTTCAGGAGGTGGCTGGCTGGCGTATGAGGTGTAGTAGGGGTGGTGGGATTGGTGTTGATGAAGATGGCTCAGATAGGGCGACTGCGCAGCCATGGTCTCAGCTGTATCGTGTGTGAGTAAGCTCGGCACTGTTGACGTATATGATGAGCTGAGATGCTTACCCGTACTCTGAGGAACTGTGGGCTGGTAGGCAACGGCGGAGAGGCCATTGAGCGTCGTTTTGACGTAGTTCGACGTGCTCTCCGCTACCAGTGCCTCGAGTTCCTTGTAGTCTGAGATGAGATCCAGCTTGGCGCCGTTGGTCTGCGGTGCTGGTGCAGCCGCTGCTGTATCTGCCTTTGGCTCGCCGTTCGCCGTCTCTGCTGGCGTCTCGGTGATTTCGACCACGGGTGTCTCCTCTGCCGGTGTCTCTTCCGTCAAGCCAGCCAAGGCATTCTGCACCAAACCCGAGGTCGTTTTCTCAAAGAAGGAGGAAAGGTCGTCGAGATCCAGGTCGCCGTCACCCGATCCGCTTGGTATTGACTCTTGGTTGGCAACGTCGCTCAGCAGCGCCGAGACGCCCAGCTTCTCTCCGACCTCTGTCATTGACGCCAACAAGGTTCGAACATGTGCCGAGAAGCTTTTCAGAACATCGCCGGGCGGAAACTTTTCTTTCAGAGCGGCTATTCACAACGTCAGTTGCTGATTCAGTAAGATGAGCGTAGCAAAGAGTCAATGAAGAAATCACAGGTCGGAGGGGGCCAAGAGGTTACGAACCTGGCTGCTTCACCTTGAGTTCCTCCTCCAAGACATCTTTTCGAGCCTTGGCCAAGGTCAACAGCTCTTGTTGTGAAGTTGACATCGGCTCACTCGCTGAAGAATCATTCAGCCCGTCCAGCATAGTCTTCTGCACCACATGCACCACCTCTTCTATTGACAAGCCCTCGCCGTCCTTTATCAACGACTCGATCGCCTTGTAGGTCTTCATCTCGACGTAAAGCTGGGACAGCGCCGGCGACAGATCGGAAATCTGACACCGAAAGACGGAGGTGAAATTCCTCTCGGCAGCCGTGAAGGAATCCAGCCCGCCCTCGACCAACCACATGCCAAACTTGGCAATGTTGGCCAGCTCCAGCAACGTCCGGGCCTCGGCCTCTTGTATCTCCAGCTCGTCGGCAGACAGCACCTGGCTGTCCGAGAAGAGCTGCCACGTCGCATCGAAAGATCGCTTTAGCCGTCCGTACGAGCGCCCGTATCCCGAGTCCGCGTCCCCGGCCAGCTTGGACATGTCGTCAATGGGCTGCTGGAGCAATATCAGCAGTACCGAGAGCGCCAGGTTCCCCAGCGCATGCGTGTTGGCGATGCGCACGTACTTTTCCGGCTCCGACAGGAACGACACCGGGGCCGGGCGGGCGTCTGCTCCGTGCGCGTCGTCGACGTCCATGGGATCGCTGTGCGCCTCTCCGGCGTCGACGGTGAAGCCCCGGACCAGGTCGCCCACGTTGGACAGCGCATTCTGCACCAGCAGCGCCAGGCCATCCTCGAGCGACGACTCCTCCTCTGTGGTGTGGTTTGGGTTCTCCGTCTTGGGCCTCTTGGCCTCTTGCTCGCGCTCCTCGTGGCTGTCCTGGGCTACCTGCTCAAACGGGCGCTTCGACGCGAGCTCGGCGAGAAGGCTGAAGTCGAGGCCCTCGAGAACGGCCGTGTGGTCGTGTTCGTGCTCCTGCTTGATCTCTATGCGAACGAACCAGAGAGGAAGAAAACGGCCGGTCAGCTACGTCGCTCATTGCCCGGGTCCAATCTTTTTGCATCTGCAGCCCCGTCCAACAAACAGAAACAAGGCAGAAAAACAAAAAAAAAAGCCAACAACAGGTGCAGCATCTCTTCTCACCTCGGGGAGAGCCAGCAGGCGCTGTCTGAAGCTGCGCCGGCTCAGCCATGTTGCCAATTGCCTCGGAGGAGGGCTCGTCAGGGGAGCATCTGCAGCGATTGCCGTCGCCAGGAGCAGAAGCGAGGTCGGTCCAGCTGAAGGCGATGAGTTGGTCTGCTCGATGCGATTGAGCCGGAATCGATATCGATAACGCAGGCCAGGTCGAGTCTCGGCAGCGGTCGGTTTCGCAATCGCAATCGCCAACCCCAAACGTGATGCAAGATGATGATGATGGCGGGCGGGCGGCCAGAAATTTTGCTGAGTCAGTCGGTCGCCGATGCCCTTATTTCTTGCCCCGGAAAGCAGCTGCTCGCAGATACACAACGGGCACAGAACCAGAAATTGGGGGGCTGAGAAATTTAATTGGGGGGTTGAGAAATTCGACGTCTTCCCGGTTGCGGGAGAGGTTGTAAAAAAAGACACGGCGGAGTAACAAATGACAAGGCAAAGAAGGCCAGGCGAGGCTGGCGTGCATCGATAAAGGAAAAAAAAAATCCTTATCCTAGCTGTTAGCCACTAGGCGGATTTTTTTTTTTTCTGGGCTCTTGTTCTTGCTGTCAACGGCAGACGTTCTACTTTTTTTCTTCTTTTTTTCTCACCAGAGGCGGAATAGCGAGACATTCATTGGCCCGAGATTTTTGTCCTACTACGATAAGGCTTCGGTGGGGATTGTTCCGTCTTCATTCATCTTTGTTCATCGGCCGATGGCTTTTAGCTCGAAATTGGAGACAAGCAAGACATGTTCCTGGCGGCTTACATAAGACACTGCGATGTCACTCTCCCTCAATCTTGCTCCAGTATAGATTGCACGCCTCGGTTCACGCAAGGTGATTCTGTCTACCACCAGCATTCTGATATAATGGTGAACGACTGTGAAACAGAGTTAATATTTTATATTGAATGTGACACTTTGATATGTTCGGGCAAGATTCTGACTAGACACCCTACGTAGAGTCAACCATGAAAGCCAACCTCATCCACAGCCCCTCTAGTTCTTGCTCGTTAACCGAACTTCATCTCTCTTGCCAGACCATCACATATCCACAAACAACAGTTGCTATTGCCATGCAATACTTACCTAGCACATCCTGTAGTAGTCCCATATACAAGATCAATCCAATACAATACCAACATCCGCCTCCAACAACAATATCAATATCAAGTAAACCCAACTTCATCCATTCCACCTAGTATAACCCCCCCATTCCCCCCTCATAATCTACCACCTCCTCACCACCCTACGATTCTGCAACCCAACAATTCTCAACCACATACTTCAGCAACATCAATCAAGCTCAAACAACCTACAAAATCAAAACAAGAGAAAAAAAACCGTATAAATGATCGACAACCTCCAATGCCAAACCCACACCCGCACCCCCTGGGGCTCTTCCCCCCACCGCTACGACCCGCGCATCCGCTACCTGGCCATGGGCCTCCTCTGTGCCTCCGTCCTCGCCATCTTCACCGTCAGCCTCGTCTTCGTCGGCAACTCGGCCGTCAGGACCTACTCGTCCTCTTCCTCCTCTGACGACGACGATACAACCGCCTCGACCAGCATACCTTTGTCGACCGAGATACCTTTGTCGACGACGAATATCAGTGCCACCAGGCTGAATCAGAATACTTCAGAAACAATCACAACTATAACCATTACTGGCCTAAAAACACTACTCTCACCTACGATTACAGTTCCACTAGATGAAACCAAAACCGCAGATATTGGATAGAAAGAAGATGAAAAAGCATATATGAAAAGGGGGAAACACGGTTTTCGAGGGTTCACAACGCAAGGGTTCACAACGCGAGGGTTCACAACGCGAGGGCAATTATCGGTTCCCGTATTTCAGCTAGGATAGCGCGTGGCATAATAACAAGAACACGATGACAGGGTTGGTCGGCGTCAGACCACACCACACCATAAATAAGCAAGGGCTCTTCACACCTCATGTACAACATATCCTCATGCATTAATATAATAAAGTCATGCCTCGTTACGCGGCAAATGTCATAGAACAAAACCATCCCCTCTCCAAACGTTCAGCCATCATACAAAGAGCATTAGGGGGGAATTTAGGCCAACAAGCTCAAGCCCCTTGGTAACATCAAAAAAAAGAAACAAAGAGCAGAAAAGCATGGCGAGAAGTAGATGGGTATCTGATACTGATTTGACGATACAAATCCAACGAACCAACTTGAATCCATCTTACAACAAGACCGCAGCACCCAAAACGACGCCAACCAGGCCGGCACCAAACGCAGTGACGCGCTTGTCCAAGGGGCTGCCGTTGGACGTCTCCGTGCTTTCGGCGCTAGAGGTGGTGGAAGATGATGATTTCGGGGTAGAAGTCGTGGCAGCACCCGTGCTGTCGCCAGAGGTGCTGTCTGCGGTGCTCTCCGCCGTGCTGGTACCGGTCTCGGTGGCCACGCTGACAGTTTCGGTCTTGACGGCCAGAATCTGGCCCAGGGTGGGCAATTTGGCATCGCCATCCACCTGCCACCAGCCGCCGGCAGTGGACGAAGGACACGCACGGGTCGACACGTCCTTTGCGTCGTAGTCGTCTCGGCTGACGCCGGTAGGGGTGTTGGTCGCCCACTTGGACTTGAGCGCGGTGAAGTCGGGCAGCTTTGGCGTGGGAGTGCCCTTGCGAAGGAAGCCACCCTCGACGTTGGGTCCAGCAGCTTGGCCGGCTGGGGCATATGTTATAATTCCGTAGCCGTTTTCCTCCTGAATCCACTCGTAGATGATGGCGCCGCTCCAGTCATTGACCATCTCAGGGCCAAAGATGGCGTCCTGGTCGTCGAACTGGCGAGGGCCGGGAACGATGCAGCCTGTCTCGGAGAGGAAGATGGGCACGGGGAATTTCTTGGCGTAGGCCTCAAGCTGGTCGTAGGTGGACTCCTTGTACGTGCTGGGGTCGCACCACGAGTACGAGTTGAGGGCGAAGAAGTCGACTGTCTCGGACGAGTTGCCGCCGCAGGTCAGGTAGTCCTGGAGCATGGGGCGAAGCTGCAAGATATCGGCGGCCGAGTAGCCGACGGGGATCTCGCGGTAGCCCTGGGCGTCGCGGTACGCCTTCATGTCGCGGGCAGCAGCCTTGAGGTAGGGCGCCGTGGGCGAGTCATCTTTAGTAGCGATGTTCTCGTTTCCGACGAAGACGCCCAGGAGGTTGTCGTACTTTTGGAACGTGTCCAGGACCTCGGCATACCTGTCGAACTTTGTCTTATTCCAGTAGTTATTTTGCTATAAAGATGTGTGAGAGTGAAGCCCACAGGGAGAGAAGCAGAGGGGGGGGGGGGGGGGGGGGGGGTTCGACGCACGGGAATAATGTAGGTATCAAAGGTATCCAGATCAGCAAGGACGTAGATGCCGGCGTCGTCAAACGCACTCATGCAGCCGTCATGGTCGGCGTCCGGGTCGACGTGATAGACGCGGATGGTGTTTGTTCCGAGCTCGGCCATGAGCTTAGCATCGCGTTTGCACTGGTCAGTGTCCACGAGGGGGTCCTGCGGAACAAGCTGGTACGCAATGCCTGGAGAAGCGTCAGAACAGATGTTTGTAGTGTGGGTTTTCTTTTCTTCCACGCCGCCACAAGCACATACCCTTGATAAAGAACTGCGAGCCGTCCTTGTTGAAGAACTTGTTTCCCACGACGGAGACGGGATCCAGCGCCACGGCAAAGGATTTGGCGCTCGCCAGCGCAACGGCAACCGAAGACCAACGCATCGTGTGTCACACAGTCGAAATGCAGGTAAGCTGTTGGTTCCAAAGGGAAGCGGCGGTAAATCGAATTCTGTTCACTGTTCCAAAACTCTTGGCGAACAAGAGAAAAAAAAAAAGAAAGATGGGATGAATGAAGGGCTCGCGATGTGGTCGAGCAGATCCAAACCAACCAAGAAGAGAAGCTCGTCAATGGGTTCAAAACCGAAACTGAGAGAAAGGTAAAAGAAAGAGGGAACCGAGCACAAGGCGGATTTTTTTCTCGTCCCAACCCAAGAATTGTTTGGCCACAGATTGTCCCCCAGAGGCGGAAAGGGGGGAAAACCAAGAAAGTGAGCGCAACGTGACCCAGAGAGAGAGCGAGCGAGCGAGCGAGGGTTGAGAGAGACGAGAGGAAGCGAGAGCGGTGGACGGACGGGCCTCGACAGCTGGCAAGCCAGTGGGTTTTATCTAAAGAGCGAGTGATTGGATCCAACAGTGAATAACCCCAGCAACCGCGATTGAAGCCGGCGAATGCAAGAAAGAGCGGCTGCAGAGGCACCGAGAGAGTCAAAAGAATGGTAAGAGAAAAGAGGAGGAAACCTGCAGATCCCGTCCACCAGCAAGAGAAGCGCGATGATGAGATTGTTATGGCATCGTACTTGTACACCAGCATGCACCACGACCTCGGCCTTGGCCTTGACCCTGTCCTGTCCTGTCCCGTCCTGCCCTGTCCTACTAGTTCCGCTTCAGACCCCCCCCATCTTTTCAAGCCAGATACGATACGAACAGGGAAAATCAAGGATATCGTCCTGTCTAGCCTTTCAATTTCCCCATCTTTGCCGTTAGCTGCCAGAATGCGACTAGCAGTAGCTCGCAAAAAAGAAAAGAGAAAAAAAAACAGGGGTGGGTGGAAAGTGCCCCAGACGAGGATGAAGAGGATCCGGCATCAATTGGCTACTAAACGGCTCGGATTTCTTGGCTCGAGGTGCGACGGTTGGAAACCTGTGCTGTCCAGGCACAAAGAGCCTCGTAGGACAAGGGGGGGAGGGGAGTTGGTCACGAGGCTACATGTACTCGTAGGCAGTAGGTAGACGATGGGATTTACGACTCTCGTGTTGCGGCCCATGTTTGTTTGCGTGCTAGTATTACTGTACCTCGCTGTAGTACCTTGCATTACCTTACCTAGGTAGGAACCTTGTGTAATATCATGGCCATTGCTCTCAATTGAAGCTCGCAGCAGTGGGAAATACCACACACACACTCACTCTCTCTATTCACCGAGGCATCACGATAGAGGCCAATGCTCCCTCTCTCTCTCTCTTAGTCAGTCCCGTCACTACAGAACCGCATTCCCAGCTGCATCATGACGTGCTGCATTGCCCGTCTTCATGCATCCCGCACAACCCAAAAGATTCACCCTCGGATTCTCACAGCCAATAGATTGAGGTGTCAGCAATAGATTCCCCCCCGTCTCCGACTAGAGACCGCCAAGCCGGCAAAGCCCAAGCGCAAATCAAAATCCAATGAAAAACGCAGGACAGCGGCCTCGTATAGAAAAAAAGTACGTTCGTCCCTTTTACGCCTGTTATCGCAAGGCCGGCATTATGGCGGCGAGATATTATCACCTAGGTACTCTGTAAACCACCCTTGGCGTTTATGATGCTCTCACCAATTAGCTTCCAGATGTTACAAATTTCCCAACAAGAAGAGCAAAGGAGAAAATCTATCGCAAATAGCAATCCAAGAACAATGTCAAGAATAACAAGGCCCGTTTCTTCGCCACCCCATCAATCCAATCGCCATCATTTCTCCCCTTCCCAGAGAATCCCCCCTCCCCCAATCGCTGCAGATGTCTCACCCTCCTCCTCCCCATCAATGCTCCCTCCCGCTCGCCCTGTGTTTCAAAACCGTGCTGCTGTCCAGCCGCTAACGAGGTGCCTCATTTCAGGAACACGGGGGTTTCACCCTGTATCGTCTCTTTTTGGCGCTTACTTGTTGTATGTACCTACACTTGCCTTCTTTTACCTCCCTTGGCAGTGACATATACACGTATGTACAGTTAGTGGCTCCTGTAAGATTGGAACTTCATGATACGAAGTCGCATCCAGTACGACTTTTGGTAGTAAACCCGGGGTACTAAGATCATGACATAATATTTGTCCGTCGGTTCATGTTGCAATTCACGTGGCGTGCATGCAAGGGGCGGATATAAGGGCCTCGAATGGGACAGTCCCTTCCCCCATCAAGATCACGTACCTAGTTCGGGTCTTTCCGATGGCTGTCTGTCTGTCTGTCTGTCTGTCTGTCTGTCTGTCTGTCTGTCAGTCTATCACTGGTTCTGCCTACATGTACCCACCTGGGTTAATATCATGGTCCTTTTGCATCGTTGGGGCAGTTCCAATACGAGTACCTAATAAATTGCCATACTAGCAGCAGCTGATGTACAGTAGGTAAGTCGGTAGGTAGTATGTACCTTAGAATATTTCTATGCATCCATGTCCCTTGTTTAGTTATCCAGCTCTAATGTTCTTAAGCCCCTTTATTCTAGGTACGTCATACATGTAAGCTTCACTTTAAGCTACAACACTAAATCGTACACATCACGATATCGTCCCATCCACAACAGGATCTATTCTAGCAGGAAAGAGAAAGCAGTCTATCATATGCCACCGTAGAATTATGCATCAGCCCATCATCACACAAATGCTCCCCTTTCTGTGCAAGCAACCAGAGACGCCAGCGCCTCAAGCCTAGGTAAATACTACCTCATCTTCTTGTCCTCCTCCTCCCCAGACCCCCCCTTCCTCCCAATAAACGTCTTCATCCCGCGATCCACGCCCGAAATCTTCCTCGCAAGCAGCTGCACCCCGACCGGCAACACGTTATACCAATCCACCCACCGCGCGTAAAACGGCATCGCGGCCGTGACGCCCTTGCCGCCGTCAATCGCCGCCACAATCTCCTTGGTCACGTCCACCGGCTCGACGACGGGCGCGAAGAAGGCGCTCGGCGTCTGCACCCCGTAGAAGAGCGGCGTGCTCAGCTGGCCCGGCGTCACGAGCACCGTGCGGATGTCCGGGTGCGACTCGCGCAGCTCCGCCGTCAGCGACTTGTGCAGCGCCGTCAGGCCCGCCTTGGCCGCCGCGTAGTCGGCCAGCTGCGCCGCGCCCAGGTGGCCGATGACGGACGACACGTTGACAATGGTGCCGCCGCGGCCGCCGCGGATGATGGCCGGCAGGAACGTCTTGAGGCAGTAAAAGGGGCCGAGCAGGTTGGTTGCGATGCTCGTCTCGATCTCGTCGATGGACAGGTCCAGGAGCGGCTTGCCAATGACAATGGCGGCGTTGTTGATGAGCACGGTAGGCGTGCCAAGCTGTTGTTCAACCCAAGTTAGATCCCATCATCATCATCATCATCATCACTCCTTTATTCCTCTCGGGCTTCAGATTCAAAAGGAAACAACTCACGTCTCGCTCAATCTCGACCGCAACCTTGGCCACCTGCGCCTTGTCGCTCACATCGCACTTGTAAAACGTCACGCCCCTCGCCTCCCCATTCTCCATCTCGTTGACGTCCAGCACGGCCACGCTCGCGCCCCTCATGCCGTACACCTCGGCCACCAGCATGCCCAGCCCGCTCGCGCCGCCCGTCACCACAATCACCTCCTCGCCCAGGTCCACCTCGCGCGGCGCGCCGTGCGCGATGCGCTGGTTGACGTAGCTCGCGATCCACATGAGCGAGATGAAGATGGCCCAGGCGATGGCGGCCACCATGGGCGGCGCCTCCCAGCGCGTCGTCTGCGCGCGCAGGCATAGCGGGATCAGCCAGCAGATGAAGGGGTGGAAGATGCTGACGCTGAGGACCTTGAGGATGAGGTCGATGGAGAGGGGCGCGAACCACGAGTCGCGCTGCGGAGGGCGCGAGTAGGTTGCCGGCATGGCGACGGTGTGTGTGATAAGTGCGGGTTTTGATGAAGGCTGAAGGGCCTGAAGGAGCGGTTTGTAAGTAGGTAGGTAGGTAGGTAGAAGGAGAAGAGGACGAGAGGTGGTGGTTGATACAGCTAAAGTGGCCGCAGTGGAGGGTATCACATGAAAGAATTTATGAATAGACAGCTGTTTAGTAACCGAGCTCAACAAAGGATTTTCCCTCAATTGGCAAAGTCACACAAGACAAAATCCAGGAATCACACCTCTAAAAGAGAAAAAAACAAAACAAAAAGAAGATGCAAAGAAATGGCGATAGATGGGAAAGAAGAGAAGGGGAAAAAAAAAAGGAATCGATCCTCTATATCTTCTCTCACGAACAGGCGACGGTGACCCCAAAGACCCTTGATTCAATGAAACGGTCTTAGCGCCACCCCTGGACCAGTCGCCTAGCTTCAGCCTTTGCCGCCTCGCGATCTCATTGGCCAGAACCGACAGATTCGGTAGCCGGACGCTGAGGTGAAACGCTTTGGGGGTTGTGCCTGAGCTCTGCCAGAGTTTGGAGCTGTAGAAAAGCAGGATTGTTTCGTGAGATGCTGTGCGTTTCACTTTGCGGTGGGGCATTCAAGAGTGCCCTCGTGGCTGCTTGTGGCATCAGTCGTTCGAATGTCGTGCCATTTCATATTGATGATGATGATGATGATGATGATGATGATGATGATGATGATGATGATGATGCTGGTGGTGATTCAGATTCCAAGAGTCAAAGAACCAGTTATGATTCGCCCAGTATGCAAGACCTGTACAAAATGCCCATATGCAAAGCCCGTGTCCGTCAAAATGCCAGAACCCATAAAGTCTCCGAGAGCAGAGTCTACCTTTATCCATATATATGATGCTCCCATCAACCCAAATTTCGATGGCCTCCAATGATTATCATACACATCTCAAAAAAAATCCGCACATCATTGCCTCCCCTTGCCCTCCGCCTTCTTCTTCATCCTCTCCCGATAGGCCCGATACTTGGCCACCTCCTCCTCCTCCCACTCCCTCTCCCGCTGGCTCGCCCTCTTGCTCCACTCGTGGTACCCCGGATCCCGCGCGATGCCCTCCATCCGCCACCGCTGCGGCGGCTTGATCCCCAGCGCCGCCTTCTGCTCCCACACCTGCTTGCCCCTCCGGAACCAGCGCTGCTGCCGCTCCTCCTCCTCGTCCGCCGACGGCCGCCAGTTGCTCTTGAGGATCCGCCGGATCGCCTCGCTCGACACCTGGAACTTGTCCGCCAGCGCCGCCGTCGTGTACACGTCTGGGAACTGCGCGTTGAGCGCCCGGATCCCCGCCAGGGCGTCGGGCGAGAGCCGCTTGCGCGGCTGCCAGCCCTGAGGGAACTTTTCTTTCAAAGCCGCCTTGTGGAGCTTCCACGGCTCTTGGGTGCGCGGCCCGGGCTTGGAGGGCTGTTGCTGGCCGGTGGCATCGGGCGAATTGTCTTCCGCGAATGATGGTTTGGCTTTTCGTTCCCGTTTTCCTCTTGGCGTTGTGTTTCGTGTGTCGCCTTTGCCATCTGTAGCAGCGGAGGAAAACTTCTTCTTTCCGTCCCTTTTAGCCCGTATCTTCTCGCCCGGCTGTTCATTCGCATCGGCGACCGCCTCGTTCAGTGCCTCCGTTGCGCCTGATCGCCCATCCTCAGCTTTTGTGTTCCGAGATTCCCCCTCATCATGTCCTTTCGCAGCAGCCGCCTCCTCCTGTCTCCTATATCCCGAGGCATGCAGTCCACGGCTCTGCCCCGGCAGCATCACCAGCTGCCGAGTCGGCCATCGAAGCGGCGCCGCCGCAGAGAGATTGTCGGATCGGTGAATCTGGGCGAGACCCCGCGCAAACGTCCGCCATGTGACGAAGCGACACGAGCAGCTCATTGTCGAGGGCACGCGAGGACAGGAGTGGAAAGGCAAGGTGTTGTTGGATTTTTTGATATTGGAGGCAAAGAAGAAAAATATGGCAAGGCTGGATGAGGAAAATCGATTAGGTGCCGTTAGTGGGGATTCGAGGTGGGGCCGGCCGCCTTTGGTGGTTGTCCCGCTTCACCCAGTTAAACGATGCCTTGAACGCTCTCAAGGCCGTCACAGTTGATGAAACTCGATTGGTATTGAGAATATCATACAGTTATTGTAGGCAAGTTAGAATTGTAACTTGATCAATTTCATTGGCTCGATCTTTTCATCAAGCCACATGCTACAGATATGATGTTGTGCCCCTCTATTTGCGACGGGTCTGGATCTATTCTGACAGGATATTTCTGCTTTTCATTCAACTCCTTATGCTCGGTCAACGTAAAGAAAGCCCAAAAACGCCAATCCCATGAAAGTAAGGTGTCCAAGAAGAATATTTGACAGCCTCCAAAGCCAAAGTAGCCGTGTCATGACTTTGCCAACGCCTACCAAGCGCCTTCATTCCCAGAGAAAAGAATGACACATGAAAAAAGTACTAGTTATTATGTCCACCGTCCCTCGTATCAACAAATGCCCCAGAAACTCGGTTACGCGTCGTGCATCAGCTCAACGGGAGGCCGCGCAGTCTGGGCCATTATGGGCTTCGAGACCTCAATGGGGCTCATGGTCGGCCCGTCCGTCATATCCTCGACAAAGACGGCGGGGATGCCGGGGCTCGTCTCCGCGTCAGGCTGGTAGATGAGCGTCGAGCTGCGGCTCCGGGTGCCAAAGTTGGGGACGCCGCCGTCGGTCGGGGTGACGGGCGAGTCGTAGGTGGGGACGGGGCGGTGGTGCAGCTTGGCCAGGGCCTCGGCGAGGTCATCCGCGTGGACCTGCTTGTTGGGCGCGTCCTCGAGGCGCATCTCCCAGCCGTGGGGAGGGCTGGCCGGCGGGGAGATGAAGAAGAGCTTGCCGGCGTCGGGCAGGGCCAGGTGCTCGGGCTTGGTCTCGATGGGCGTGGGCTGGCCAAAGTAGAGCTTGATGCGCTCGCCCATGACGGCCTCGCCGTCCCACACCTGGCGCACGGCTAATGAGGCGTCGACGTCGAAGAAGGAGACGATGATGCGGCGGAACGACTTGAGCGGTGCAAACGAGTGTATGGGTGCCGTGTGCTCGATGAGCTCGCGGATGGTCTGTAGGTTCTCGGGCAGGAAGATGTCGGTGTTGTTGAGGTTTGTGAAGATGAGCGTGTTGGAGGGAGGCGTCGGCTGGACGAGCGGCGGGAGGTTGGAGAGGTCCAGACTGAGGTTCGATTTGTTGCGGGACGAGGTCGACGAGGACCGTGAGAGACTCGGTGTGACATCCATAATGGCGGAGGTTTGTAGTGTGATGTTGGATTTCGAGATTCAGGAGGGGTTTAGGGAATGTCGATCATAAGGTGGGAAACCAGATATTGCGATATGGCAATGGCGGTGATATCAAGCCGTGGTTCCCGGAGTCGTGTGACGTGTCTGATGCAAAAGCGGGCAATGGGAGTAGCTGCTGTAGCTTCGAACTTTGCCAAATGCACAATGATGGCCGTTTGGGATGATAAACGGCGACTGGCTTTTGTAGCAGAGGAGATTGTCTGTCTTTGTCTTGAGGAAGGATAGAGAACAAGAGGGAACGTGAGGAGGAAGAGGAGGAGGCGATCTTATACCATCAACCCAAGCAAAGCCCCGAAAGAAGAAGGCGGAAAGGTGCGAAGAAAAGCGACCAGGGAGGCCACGGGACTGCTGCGGCCCCGGATTGGCTGCGCAAAGAGGTGCGGATGGCGAGGCGGTGGAGCCGCGGTTGGCGTGGCCCAATGCTTAGCGCTGGCTGGTCCCCCTGTGCTGCGCTGGAGCGAGGTACCTTTACAGGGCAGCTTCGGGGGCGGAGGTACATAAGGTACCTTACCTGTCGCGGTTGTTGCCATTCTTTGCCGTTGCTTTTGCCATGAGCATTTGCCATTAATGCAAAAGGTGGCTGGGCTGGTTGGTACCTGATCGAGCATCGAGCACTGGAGGGGGGCTGTGCAAAGCTGTGGTCAATGAGTGAGTAATGCAGGCGAGTTCGTGCGATGAGCCTGCCAGAACTTTTTTTTTTTTTTCCACTGTATTTGAAATATCCTTCTTTTCTCTTCGTTTTCCCCTGCAGGATCAGTTCCTTCGCCACATCACCTCTGAGGCTGCACAAGGTAGATTGAATGTAGTATGTGCCTTGCGCAAACTAGAGATGCAAGGCATGACACAAGATCAAACCAAGGTGCAGATGACTTTGCGGTTTCTGCACGCAACTTCAAGGTCGTCATTTGTCTCATTCTCATCACAGTCTAGCATCGCTACGGCGCAAGAGAAAAAAAAAGATAGGTAAGTAGTACAAGCAAATAACGCAAAACTCTCGAAGCAAGTACCCAGACAATACGCGTCTGGTCAGCAACCCAGCACCATCCAATCGAGGTCTCCCACGAGTCCCTCGACGCAAGCGCCAAAGTACCTCCCTTGCGCTTTACCGCTGACGGGCACTCGAAGCCACTTTGGTTTGATCCCCGCCTCCGAGACCCAGCGGGCTTTTTGGGGCTGTGCGAGGTCAGGTCAAGTTTGCGATTAATCAGACTTTCTTCTTGTGTCTCGGTAATACCTCTGTTTGTCAATGCCTCGTTGTTCTTGACCTTTCTTGAGCTTTCTACTACTAAGTATTATTTGGAACGAGCCCGTTTGTTTCGTGCAGTGCCTGTCACTGGGATGGCTACACGCATGCATATCCGTCCATCCAATCGGAGCCACTCAGCAATCGAAGGTCTCGACAACGTTGCATGAGAATACTTCCAGCGATGATGGTCTATCCACTCCCAAAGACTCCTTATCTCGGACTCTCGTGGCATCTCTCAGCCAACGAATACCATGGTCCGGGGAGCATCCTCTTGCAATGTAACAGAAGAAACCGGGCGTATCTACGGATACCAAGCACGGTAATGGAATGGCAGCACTCCGGACGCAGCGGCCGAATCTTCGCTCCGTTTGAACTCAACCCCGGTCTCTCCACGGGCGGCTATATGCCTTGGCTTACATAGGTACGGAGTAGTAGTACATAGTAGTCCCTTCACCACGATATCCCTGGCCTTCATAGGCACGCGTTTGCAGTTGGAAGTCGTCAAGGCCTGTCGATCAATCACAAACGATAGGCACTAATACTAACCTCGTCACGTCTGGTTCCTGGATCGGGCTATCCACTCATCAGTAGTTGTTACTCACTCCCAGGACGGCAGTGCAAAGCAAAAGCGAGAACCAGCCATCAAGGTGGAGTTCAAACGGGGGATCGTCACAAGCCCGTCCACATGCACCCCGATTTCCGATGCCTTTACAGTATCACATTGGAACGCGCCACAAAAGACTTACGTACGTACGTGCACGTGCATGTAGGTACCTATGTAACACGTCTGTAGGCAAAGCGTTTCGGACTCCTCGATCGCCTTGTCTTGACCGACTGACCGGGCTGTGTCGTCTCCATCTCTTTCTGTTCCTATTGGCTGCTTGCCCGGAAGCTTTCCGGTGTGCCTTGTGCCCTTTTTTTTTTTTTTTCCTGAACAAGTATTACGAGCCTCGTTCACGGCTGAAAGATCAATCGCACAGCCTCGAGCTGCAGCTTTGTACGACTAACTAGTACCTTACTGTTCCAGTGGCCCCCGTTGTGCAGTTTGTGTGCTCTATGTAACACCTCTACACATGGCAATGTGTCACCGAGATCCATATGCATGCAACATCCCCCATCTCGGCACACCATCTCTCGAACATCGATACCTTACAGTACACTTGACGACAAAACTCCAAGCTCGGTCTGAGAGTGACACGCACGAATTCGCCATGGGCCATTAACCTCTCCAATTAATCTTTTCACACAAACACAGCCGAAACTGACACAGATAACACTTGATTCGACACCACACACAGCCCATCCCTCAAAACAAGCCACACGCGAAAACAAAGCCTTGATGACATTCCTCATCCCCCATCCCCTCTCACACCCATAGGTAGGTAATTATGAACAAACCAAACAACGTCATTCCGCAGAAATGCATCACGTGGCTGCCTCACTTCATTCCAGCATCTCCAATTCATGCATTCAGCCACACTCAAACGAAAACAGCCCCCCTCTGTGGCTTAGCCTAGGTCCCTATTATTCTCAAAGCCCAAACAACAACAAAAAAACACCCAACAAACAGATTCCAGATCGCATGATACCGAAGTCTTGACACCTACAAACGCAAACCTCAATCTCGCTTAGGATCTATGTACCTGACAGCAGTGAATCCTCCGGTGGCCGTGCCGAAAAAAAAAAGCCGCTTCTTCCGCTCTTCTCTTATGTTCTTTATTCCCCCTGCCACGTCACTTGCTCCTTCTGCCCCTGTATCCTAGACCCTAGGTAGGTATCTTAGCCTTGGGAAGCCGTTCCAGGAGAGTCAGCTCTTTGCTACGAAGCTTTTTTTTTTTTTTTTTTTTTTTTTTTTTTTTTTTTTTTTTCTCTCCTTGCTGTCAAAGCGCCGAGGCGCAGCACCTGGACCTCTAATGTTGTGATTCCATGTACGCTGCCGCTTCCAACGCCCTGTTAGGGTGGACTGCAAGGCGTCTATCTGGAATCAGACCTCACAGCATTTTCAAACAGTGATGTGATTGTCACGATTGTATTGATGTTTTCGTCAAGCGTGTGGTGGGTTACGTGTATCAAATTGCTCGGAAACCCAATGAAATTATACACGTGATACTAGTTGTACAAGGCTGGCACAGTCGGCCAACTTCCCAAGCAGCCCATCCACGCGAACCATCTCGGCAGAACCAACGCCAAGATCTCGGTCAGAGCTCGCCAAGGTCACTTCGGCTGCTCTCAGCTCCAAGAGCTAGAATGCTACCATGCCCAACAGCCTTTATCGTGGGGCAGATTCTCATCGCCTCTCTCCCCTCCTCCCCCTTTTTTTTTTCCTGCCTGACATGCAATGCCCTGTGCTGAGCGCATAGCGCACCGGCCAAGCCTCGCTCAGCCTCAAACCTTCCCCCCCTCTTCACCGTAGTTCAACACCGAGCTTATTCACCAAGGCTTGCCTCACCCTCTCGTGGAGGTTGTTCGTCTCCTGCCCCGTCAGCGTGCGCTCCAGGTTGCGGTAGACGATGCGGTACGCCACGCTCTTGCGCCCCGTCTTGGGGTGGACGAATTCGTCAATCAGGCTGACGCTCTCCACCTCGTCGCCGCCCACGCTGCGCACCAGCTCCATCACGTCGTTCTCGTGGAAGACGGCCTTGTCGTTGCCGCCCGCCGCGGACGTCGAGCGGAGCCAGAACGACACGTCGCGGGGGCTGGGCGGGTGCTTGGAGAAGGGCACGAAGCGCTTGAGCGTGTCCAGGCTGGCCGACACGCCCGCGAACTGCGACAGGAACCGCTGGTCCTCGGACCAGAAGAGCCGAATGTCCGGGATCTTGAACAGCAGCATGGCGATGCGGTCGATGCCGATGCCAAAGGCCCAGCCCAGCTGCGACGGCACGCCCGCGTTGATGTAGATGTCCTGCTTGACCACGCCGCAGCCCAGCACCTCGAGCCAGTCGCCCGCGTAGTAGACCTCGAGCTCCCACGACGGGCTGGTGAAGGGAAAGTACGCCTCCACCCATCGCATCCGTAGGGGCTCGTCCACAAAGTCCGGGTCCGCCTTGATCGCCGCGGCTTTTGCCCTGGTGAAGATGTCGACCACCATGTTCTCGAGTGACCTCTTTAGGTGCTTGCCGAGCGCCTCAGCCTCCGCCGCCGAGTGGTGCGCCTCCTGCAGCGGGTTTCGCTCGGGATGCATGGGCGGGTTGGGATCCTCCACTACGACGTCGTGCTTGGGTAGTCGCTCGAGGTCCTCCAGCACCGCCGCCGCAACGTCGCCGTTGGGCACCTTGCTGCGGTCCCATGACCGCGCGCCCTCCATCTGGTGAAAGATTGGGTAGTGGCTTCGGTCAATGGCGTCTCGCCGATACACATCCGCCGAGATGAGATAGCCATCGCTCTCGTTGGCCCGGAAAGTCTCTGCCTGGTGCGCGCTGGTGTGAGTCCTCAGCAGCAGCTTCTCGTTGAGATAGTACGTATCGCTGAGGGCTCGTCCGGGATGATCCTTGGGAAACCCCAGCGAGTCAAAGTTTTGGTGCGTCGTCACCACGGGGCTGTATTCGTTGTAGTACTTGTACGTCGGCTCCGGGAAGTTGGCCTGGATGATCTGCCGCGTGATGGAGATGGGGTGGTCAGGCTGGAGATGGAGGCGCCGTGATGTCTTGGAGACGATGTTTTGCGGCACGTTGAACCAGGGCTTTTCTGTGGGATGTGTCTCTCCGCGGATGGTCACTGTTGATGCTGATTTCTCGGGCTTCGGTGAGGTAGCTGCAGATGTCAGTTATAAGCCTCGTCAGCTTTGCAACTGTTCGATGAGATGCCCTTTTCATCGTCTCCCTCTCTCGCCCTACCGGAGACAATCACGCAGAGTGAGTCTAACCTGCAGAATAGAAACGACAGGCGAATCCCTGTCGCAACGCTCTTGAGCTCAGTGAGAGCTGCCGAGCTCTGAGTGACGCCCCGAGGCACCGCATGCTTCCCATGCCGGCCGATGCCATTGTAGCAAGGCAATCTCAAGGAGCCTAGGTCGCCTCTCTTACAAAATCAACACGAAACGGAACCAAACGCGACCAGCACCTGTTCACTATTGGCTTGAGCACTCTCACCAACCCCCATTTGAAGAGTTTCGACTTACTCTGAGCTCATCCCACCAAGGCCCGTTTAGACGCATATCGTTCAATTCATATAAGTGGGGTGAGCAGCACCACTGAGATATTTCAGTTACCCAGACACAGCCGGCTACCCTACCCTAGAGCTAGGGCTTCAACCTCTGGAGCTTCATATCCACAATCTGCGGCGTCGCCTCAACATCAATCGGATTGGCGAGATGGCCGAGTTGGTTATGGCGTCAGGTTAAGGCTACCTTAACAAGCAATTCCTGGTGGAGCAATCCGCGTGGGTTCGAGTCCCACTCTCGTCAGATTCTCTTTTTGTCACTGCGCTGGCCTTTGAGAGTAGTATTTTTTTTTGCTTTTGTTGTGTTGTATTCTCATCTTCCCTTCATGTTTGATGTTGGAGGCATGTCCTCACTTACTTCCATCCGTATATCCAACCATGTGTGGTATGTTCCAAAACAGTACATACGAAGTCCATCAGATATCTTGGGCTCCGAGCGCATGCAAATCATGTGCCAACTTCGTAAACAGTCACAGCCCATGATCGAGAGTTGTTCCAAACAGGAGCCCGGGTGAGACTCCAGATCATGCTCACTCATGTACAACATCCCGCTTGATAATGGCTTCAAGAGCAGCCTCCGGGCTGGCCTCCCACAGCTTCTGCGCCTGTCTGCAACCTTTGAAATGCTTCAAAAAGTTGTCTCGCGAAAAGATCCCGTCCCACGGAGCGACTGCCGGCCTCGAAGCCTGTCCGGGATTTCCCTCAACAGCGCGGGCCTCGCAGCCAACACATGATATCCCGTAATCAACAGTCTGGGTCTGCGGATCATAGTAGGGAAGCTCGCACGACGCCATGAAGTTGTGAACCGGGTCCCAAAAGGGCTGATGCCGCGAGCGAGGCACTCCCGTCTCCAGACGGTCGCCAAATTCCTTCATGGCTGGAAAGTACGGCACCAGCTTGAGCCGCGCTCTCTGGTAGGACTTGTCCGCCGAGTACAGCCCCGTGGTGTAGATACCCGGCATCGTCAGGCACGCCCGCTGCCGCCCGACTTCCGCGCGCGACAGCCGGAACAGCCTCCGGACCTCGGCGACCGTCACCATCCTCGTTTCGGGATCCTCCTCGATGCACTCGAAGCAGCAGCGTATCCACAAGGGCAGGAAGACGAAACCCCCAAACTTGCCGCAAAAGGCACAGTCCTGGGAGCACAGCAGTCTGTAAAAGCCCAGCAGCGTGACGTGAGCGGCGAGCCTCATCCGCAGCAGCGCGCAGTACGCCGTCAGGCCGTAAGACACGACGGCACGGTACTCCTTGAGCGAGTCGACCATCTGACGGGCCCGGAGGTTGACCTGGCGCAGGCTGAAGAGCGTCTGCATGTCCATGTGTCGCAGGGCCTGTAGCAGCAGCTCCACGGGCAGTCGGTCGAGGGCTCCAAGCCCCGTCTGGGAGACGATGGACGACGTCAAGATGGACGACTGCACCCGTGAATGATCGCTGCGCGAGACATGGACGACGGTAAGGGCATAGGCTCGTCGGTGAGAGCCCGCAGCCCGGATGATGGCCTCATCCAGCTCCGTCTGCAGCGCTTCACGGGGTCTTGCTTGCGGCGAATGAGAGATGGAGACGAGTCGCCCGTCAGCTGGTGCCATATTCTCTGGCTCTCGCGTAGCCGCTGCTCCCTGCCGCTGTGTCTCGCGCCCTCGTCCGTCGCGCACTCACTCAATCAGTCATCCAAGACGTATTACAGTGCAGTCCACGGCAGCGCAGGCATGCAGACGAAAAGCAGCGGAGCACCAGCGCATGTGCACAGCGAATGAAGCGGCGAGTCAAGCACGATCACACGCGCGTCTTAGAGGTTGATGTGGATGCAGGAGGATGGGGCTTCGTCTGTGCATGATTTTCTGCTTTTCCCCGCCATGTCTTGCATTCACCGACTGCCTGTTTGGCCAAGACGCTTCGCTTCTCTCATGGGTACATACGTAATCCTGCATGAAGCCTCTGATACCACCTCTTTTGTATGTAGCAAGGGGCATGATCAGTATCATAGCTGGACAAGTCTCGGATACGAGGAGGTCAAGGCATCATCACATGCTAAGCTTATGAGGCCCGATTACACAGTTGATTTACACATGCGCTTGCACTTTCTGATGCCGAATCCATGCAGCAAAAGAGGCTGTCGACAGGGCCACAGGCAACGCACCAACAGAACATGACAACCCCTGCTATGGCTCCAGAGGGCAACCACCACCTTTCCAATCCCAGGCTGGAACGACAAAAAGGCAGGATAAGGCAGCAGGCAGCATTGTCATCTGTCATCTCCGGACATGGTGCAATGAATCCTTCGTTCACCGAAGATCCTCAGCCGCGCGGGTATGATCATGTCCTCTTCATCATCACGATAGTCTAGAGATGCCAAATGGCGCTTTGATGTCTTGTAGTAAGATGCTGTTGAGCGACGATTGAAGGGCTTGAATCATGAACGATGGAGGCCAACATACATGTAGATAGCTGGCTTTGCAATCTTCGACCATACACATGTTATCAGCATTTGGAGAAACGAAGCTTTCAGTCGGCCGCCCCAAAATGACACATATGTGTAACCCGAGATGCAATGACAGAGTCAGGCAATTCCTCCCCGTTTCGGTATTTTATGATGTTGTAGACCACCCAAAACGTAGGTGTCATAACCGAGGTGTGCCTGAAGCCCAAAAAAGGTGCATATGCTTTGGGGGATGCCTTCATCTTGCCCAAGATAAAAGGGGATGGGAAAGCCTTGTCCGCCCTTTCATTCCACTTCCCCTTTCCTGCTATCAATAAGCCATCGACATCAGGAAAGCTCACAGTCACCTCGGCTCTCTGCAAATAAAAAAGACCTACCTAACCCCTACTATTGACCAGATACATCCTGAAGCATGCTAGTAAGCTGGACGACGTTGCTTTGGATGAGTGACCTTGACTGACACCTTGCTTCTCCAGCCAGACGAGTGCGAGTTGGGATTTTTCGTCGCGTATCGCGACCGTCTGTGGACTGTTATCGCCATTCTTGGCTATCGGCCTCCCTACAACTTCTTCTATGTCTGCATTGAGGATATCAGGGGGAACAAGGAAGAAGTTCCAGTGTCAGAGCTCGAGCGTGCGTAAAGTGAAGACGCGACCTCACCTACAGGTTAAGCATGTGGTTCAATGGAGTGGATGAGGCGCGTGTTCATCGACAATCAGAAGCTACCTAGATACTGAAGTTTCACTATTCCATATCGCCTACTGATTACCTGTATCAATGAGGCGCCTTGATTCGGCTGTACCGCTGCCACATGTGGTTATACATATGTACCCTGTAAATCCTTCTGGCAGCTTGTGTTAAAAGGGCACCGGTCCTACAAACTTACCCTGTTCTCTTTCCAGGTTCGATAATTGCTTCCAAGGGCCCGACATCCGGCCTCCAACCCGGTCGACCATGCCATCCAGAGTGGATCAAACCGATGGAAGACGCTGTGAAGTTTTATGAGGCTCGCGGGTCGGCAAACGGTTAGGCGAGACGATATGTAAGTGAGCGTAGGTGTTTAAGCGCGTCTTGAGTACATGTAGCGAGTAAGACCTAATCGAGTTATCGGGAGTCGGGGCCTCTTGAGTAAGAAAATATCCATGTTATCAGAGAGACATGGCGAGTAATAATGCAAGGGGACGTAAGTAGATGGTGATGGCAAGGCAAAGGCCACGCAGCATGGGAAGTCATGTACATGTATCCAACAAATGGCTGAGCGGGCTCACATGCTTCATGCATACCCGTCGCACAACTCAGCGGATGGCAATAGTAGAAACGACTATATAACGGCAATATGTATATATGTAATTCCCATCTGAAATCATAGAGTGTACCGCTCCCAAACTGCGGTGCTGATATACATAATCAGGATGATTGGCTATTCGGTAACATCGCCAATGCCGTCCGACAGCCTCACTGCGGTTGACGCCGGGCGGTTGACGTAGTGCTCTAGAGCGGCCTTCAATAGTGGGAACTGACAGCTGAGGCGCGCCTCACCGCCTTTCGGCCCCGAGCGGCTGCTCGGTTTTTCTGCCGCTGCCGACGTCAAAGATGCCAATTAGCCGATCTTGGATAAGAAAAATCAACGGGGCTGATAAAAGCGGCATGCCAAGTACTAATGCGAGTACAATCATCAGACAATCGTGGGCCATTAGAAAAAAAAAAAAGAGTCCAATTCCATCATCAGCTGCAGCAACTTTGGCCGGCTTCGCTCTCTCTCGTCGCTGATTCTTATATAAATCTCACCAACGTTCCCCCCTCGACTCCTTTCCTTGGCTCAGCTTCTCGCCTTTCCAGCATAGCGACCTCCTCTGCTAATTCCCGCTCTTATTCTCTCATCTTATTGGCATCAGGACGAGCAACGGGGGATCATCCAAACAAGCGCATGAGTACAAGTTGATGCTCCTCCAGCGGCATGTCCCCGTAGCCCGTGGTCGCCTCTCTCTGCATCCGCAATCTCTCGACTCGACGCCGTTGTTGCGCATCCGACGACCATGACCTCGGCAGCCCAGGCGGCCTCTTCGGCCGAGCCGCAGCAGCTGCACGCTGGCGAGCAGAAGAAGAAGAAGCTGAGAGCGCCGGCGATGCGGTATCCCTTTTGGTTTGGAGGCAGCGCGAGTAGCTTGGCCGCCTGTGTCACGCATCCCCTGGACTTGAGTATGTTTTGTCCCTGAGTCTTATCTGCCTCCTTTTTTTTTTCTCTCTCTCTCTCTCTTTTCTTACCGTCTGTTTCGGTTATATCTCGACTCGCTCTGTCAAATATCACATGCTGACCCATTTATCTGAATAGTCAAGGTACGCAGTCTTGAGCTACGAAGGGCGCTTACGCCGATGTTCGGCGCATGGCCCTTTCACGATGGCACCAGACCCATCCTGATTGGAGAGCTCCCATGAGGATTAAATGCTGCCATTTCATGGGAATTATGCAGCAATCGAAGAGAAAGGAAAACAAAAAGGAATGAAGAGAGAAGAACCAGTTCTAATCAACGACCCCCCTTTCCAGGTCCGCCTGCAAACGCGCAAACCCGACGCCCCCAAGTCCATGAGCGGCACCTTTGCCCACGTCCTCAAGAACGACGGCGTCCTCGGCCTGTACAGCGGCATCTCCGCGTCCCTGCTGCGCCAGCTGACGTACTCGACGGCGCGCTTCGGCATCTACGAGGAGGTCAAGCAGCGGTACACGCGCTCCCGCGGCGGCAAGGACCCCTCGTTCCCCGCGCTCATCGCCATGGCCGTCGGCTCGGGCTTCGTCGGCGGCGTGGCCGGCAACTTCGCCGACGTGATCAACGTGCGCATGCAGCACGACGCCGCCCTGCCGCCCGCCGAGCGCCGCAACTACCGGCACGCGCTCGACGGCATGGCCCGCATGGCCCGCGACGAGGGCGCCCTCAGCTGGTTCCGCGGCTGGCTGCCCAACAGCTGCCGCGCCGCCGTCATGACCGCCGGCCAGCTCGCCACCTACGACACCTTCAAGCGCCTGCTGCTCGACTACACCCCCATGGGCGACACCCTCACCACGCACTTCTCCGCCTCTTTTCTCGCCGGCCTGGCCGCCGCCACCGCGACGAGCCCCATCGACGTCATCAAGACTCGGGTCATGTCCACGTCGCACAAGCAGGGCATCATCCACCTCGTAAGAGACATCAACAGAGCCGAGGGCATCCGCTGGATGTTCAAGGGCTGGGTCCCCAGCTTCCTCCGCCTTGGCCCGTAAGTTTGACCAAACATACTCCCCACCCCCCCCTTTTTATATCTCCAGCCGATGCAACGCAAAACCAAACCTTCTCCCAAGCTCACACACTTTCCTTTTTCTCGCCCTTCCATCCCCGCTGACATCAAACAGACACACAATCTGTACATTCATCTTCCTAGAGATGCACCGCAAGGTATATAGAAAAGTAAAAGGAGTCGACGAAAAGACGGTATAGACACAACCCACAAAACAACACCAACACGAAAAAGGACAATAAAAAAGCATCAAGGTGAGGGCGAAGAACATACCTCACTACATACCTACCTACCTACCTCCCCTACCAACATACATACATACATGCACACTACCTTTGGAACCAAAAAAAAAAAAGACGGGGAGCCAAGGTGGAACGGGTTGAGAAACACGGTTTGTATAACACTTTTGTTTTGCGGCGTTTCTTGTTTTGATAGAGTTTCTCTTTTGGCGGCACATTTTTCTCTCTCTCTCTTTCTTCTTTGGCATCTTCAATGTTTTTTCGCCTTAGTTTTTTTTGTATTCGGGTTTCTATCATGTGCTTTCACTTGTTTCAATCGATGGGCTCTGACATATCAGCCGCAAAAATCTCTCGGAGCTGTGGTTCTCCTGATGTATACTTCCCGTATGTAGAAGATAGACTGGTAGATGAACAAAAGGCACTTGGCAAAGGATCTAATTATGAGATGCTTTTTCGAATGGCATCCGGCATGTTTAATCATGTGTGACACTGAATACTATGCGCTGTCTGTCGGGCATTCATCGTATCCCCTATGTCAAGTTTGATAAGCGGTAGGACCGGACTCATCACTGCACTCTCTAACTATTACGCTGTTGGTTTCCCAATTTTATGCAATCCAGAAGGAATCACCCCTTCCTGATACGACGGAAAGAAGATGAAAAAGCAAAGATTTTCCCCCCAGTCACTCCATCAAACGCCGCATCCCTAGTTACTGCCAAGCGTTACCCTGGCTATACGGCCCCGATCCGTATCCCGAGCCGCCCGATCCAGAACCGCCGTACGCTGTCGAGCTGCCGCCATATGCCGTGCTGCTTCCATAGGCGGTTGCGCCACCACCGTAGGAAGTACCTCCCCCGTAGGCCGTGTTGCCGCCTCCGTACGCCGTGTTGTTTCCATAAGGGGTCGTGTATCCGCCGTCCTGCCCCCACGGCGTGGTGCCGCCATCCATGTTCATGTCGGGACTCCGCGGGCCGTCCATATCGGCGTCGTCGCCGCCGTATTTCCGCGGGTCGAGCCCCTTCAGCAGAGCGCCAATCTTTTGCTGCAGCACTCGGATGCCACCCTGGATGATCAGGTCGGGTTCCATGGTTCCTGACGCTTCCACCTCAAAGTAGAAGCGGTTGGGCACTGCATCATAATCGAAGGGTTCTCCCTCTTGAGGAGGCTCTTCCCATTCAGCATACTTGCTCTTTGGCCTGAAGCAAAAATGTTGTCAGACACTGTTCACTCGAGTCGCTCCCATGACAGACGAAGCGTGTACTTACCACTCCTTTTCTGGATCTGTGTTATTCTCAAACCACATATCCATGTGGTGTAGCTTGTTGTGAGGATCGTATTCAAAGCCAACCGCCGACGTTGGCATCCATTTCGCGTGCTCCTTTGCAATTCCCTTCTTGGCAATGCAAGTGATTTTCAACTCTTGGTCCTTCCGCAGCTTGGCAATCAGGCACCCCAGCCCATCGGGGTCGGTGATGATGGGGCTTCCGACCGAGTTGGCATGGCGTCCATCAACAACCAGATCGCGGGCGTACACCTTCATAATCTCGTCGCTTGTGCATTTGGCATGCAGCGTGAGGCTTACGCTGCATTGCTCGCAATACTGCTCGCAGTCGCAGTCGCGGGAGTAGTTGAGTTCGTTGACCCCCTTGGAGTCGAGAGGGATGAGGCCGAGTCGGTGGGCGATGAACTCGTCCGCCAGGACAGAGCTGTTGACTTCCATTTCCACCAGGTCGATGGCGATTGTGGGCACTTCGGCCTGGATGACTCGTCGCAGGGCGTTGGCGAAGGGCAGGTTGGTTCTCGAGAGCTCAAAGTCCACGCGCGTGCTGTCGGCCTGGAGCGCAATCAAGGGGGAGAACTAAGTCAGAATGATGCCCGTCTTCTTCATATCTTTTCCCCCCAAACAGCAAACAGCGCCTGAGAAGAGGTCCTTCATACCGCTGAGATTTTCACCTGGGGCTGCTCCGGCTCCCCATCAATGGCCATCGAGTCGTAGTGCAGGGCATCCATCGTGAAGAAAAACGAGGCCGGACGCCGGCGCACGAAGAGATGAAGATGCTGGGATCGGACACTATTGTCTGTCTGAATCGATACGTTAAAAGGAAGAGTAGATAGAACTATGCAAAAAGCTTGGCCGCGCGAGTTGGGAGAGGGAGAAGATGAGCGTGCACAAGAGAGGGGAGAAGTGAGAAAGAGTTGAGGAGAGGTTGATGAATCCGCAAGCCGCCCGCCACCAGCCAAAAGGTTGAAGGCAGACACGCGCCATATCGATTAGCTTGCCAATGGGTTACCGCTGCAGTAGCCGGATCATTAGTAATGCCGCTGGTCTTATCGGGACCTCTTCCGAACAAGCGATAAGAGAAAAAAAAAAAAGTTCTCCCCGCGAAATGCAGGGCCGAGCAATTGGACATGCTAATTCTGGAGCTTCACCATCTCCAGACCTGCAAAATCATAACGCCTTCAACAACAACAACCACCACCGCCTCTTTCCCTCCGATCCAACCGCTGAGCCACGATTTACAATCTGAAAACTACTGAACCAAGAGGGAGAGACATAGAAGAACCAGGATGAAGATCAAGGCCATCAGCCGGTCCGTATCGGCCATCCAGCCCCCCGGCACCGACGCCGTCAAGCAGCCCCGAAACCTCGACTCGGCCGTCCACCCCTTTGAGCGCGCCCGCGAGTACAAGCGCGCCCTCAACGCCGTCAAGCTCGAGCGCATGCACGCGGCGCCCTTTATCGCGCAGCTCGGCCGCGGCCACGTCGACGGCGTCTACTCCATCGCAAAGGACCCCAACTCGCTGGAGCGCTTCGCCAGCGGCAGCGGCGACGGCGTCGTCAAGGTCTGGGACCTCGCCACCCGGGACGAAGTCTGGCAGGCGTCGGCGCACGAGAACATTGTCAAGGGCCTCGAGTGGACGCGGGACCGTAAGCTGCTGACGTGCGCCGCCGACCGCACCGTCAAGCTCTTCGACCCGTACAACCCAGCCAGCGGCTCGGCGCCCATCTCGTCATGGCTCGGCTCGGGGGCCTTCACCAGCCTGTCGCACCACCGCTCGCGCAACGCCTTTGCCGCCTCGTCGAGCGTAATCTCCGTCTACGACCTCGAGCGGCACACGGCCGCGCCCGAGGTCCTCCGCTGGCCCACGTCCACCGACACCATCACGAGCGTCGCTTTCAACCACGTCGAGACGTCCGTCCTCGCCTCGTGCTCCAGCGACCGCGGCATCGTCATCTACGACCTCCGCACGGGGACCGCCGTCGCAAAGACGGTCCTCACCTTCGCCTGCAACCGCGTCGCCTGGTCGCCCATGGAGGCCTTCAACTTCGCCGCCGCCTCCGAGGACCACAACGTCTACCTCTTCGACATGCGCAAGATGGACCGCGCCCGCAACGTCCTCAAGGGCCACGTCGCCGCCGTCATGGACGTCGAGTTCTCCCCCACCGGCGAGGAGCTCGTCTCCGCCTCCTGGGACCGCACCATCCGCCTCTGGCACCGCGACCGCGGCCACTCCCGCGACATGTACCACACCAAGCGCATGCAGCGCGTCCTCTCCGCCAAATGGACCCCCGACGCAAAGTACATCCTCTCCGGCTCCGACGACGGAAACGTCCGCCTCTGGCGCGCAAACGCCTCCCAGCGCCAGGGCGTCAAGTCCACCCGCCAGCGCCAGGCCCTCGAGTACAACGACGCCCTCGTCAAGCGCTACGGCCACATGCCCGAGATCAACCGCATCCGCCGCCACCGCCACATGCCAAAGGTCGTCAAGAAGGCCGCCGAGATCAAGAACGAGGAGCTCAAGTCCATCAAGCGCCGCGAGGAGAACGAGCGCAAACACTCGAGCAAGCAGTTCCAGGCGCGGAAAAGCGAGCGCGAGAAGATGGTCCTTGCTCAGGAAAAGTAACGGACCAGCTCCTTCTGCCTTTACTTCTCGTGGCTTGTGTTTCATTCAGGAAGGGGTCGTTTTCACATATAAATTTGGGAAAAGGGGGGGAAGGCTTGGTTGTTTGTTTGGCTTGGGGGAGTCTTTCGGGTTGTTGCATGGCACGGCGTTTTAGGCATCCGGGTTCTTCTGGGATATAAGACTTCATTTAGTTCAAGTAGTCATGATCATTCTGCCAGCATCAAGGCAGGCACTATTTATTACATTACAAATTTATATCATCTTTCGTCCTCATCATACTTGCTCAGTGACTTTGAGGAAATAAGTCAGATTCTTCAAAGCAAGCAAAGAATTGATTCTCAAGTGGCTACCTAGGCAATACTATTCATCTTTAGAAAAGACAAAGTAACATCTAGTAAAACAGAAGATGGCTGGACACAATACATCTCAGCAGATCTGACTTCTTTCTCACAGAAAGAAAAAGAAGATAAAAAGACGACGCACGCAGGTTCGTGACTTTTCGTCTAGGTAGTTCTCGTCGCTCAAAAGCAGATGCCAAAGCGGCACACACGGCATCAGATAATGCCGACCCCGAAAAGAAAAACAAAAGACATCAAACCAAGAAAAAAACAAAGTCTCAAAGCTAGATAAATCAAGCAAATTCCTGAGTCGGCTCAAAGTTCCGTGATACCGTCTTTCTCTCGCCCTTTAAACCCCCTTGAACGCCAAAAAGCTTGCCTAGCCCTGAAGGCAAAAGTAGAAAAACACACAAAAAGCAAGCAAGGAACACAAAACATGTGGGAAGGAGGCCGATTGCCAATGCTCAGTCTCGTCGCAGCAACAAGACTCGCGTCCATATATGGACTTGACAAGCACTTCCTCTTCCGGTCTGTGTGTTGTAAAGACTGTAGTCGTAAGGAAAAGGCTGTCCTGTTTCTCCTGTTTGAAAACAAGACGTGCCGTCGCCGCCCTAAGCCACCCCCTTCACCGTAAACCGCCGTGACGCTTGCGCGCGTATCCTCAAAACGCCAAAAAAGAATCGTTCGTTATTGTTGTTACAGTTCATTCATTGCCTG